GCCTTTATATCTGAAAGGGGAATATCGCCTAAATGGATTTTAACCCCTTGTGTGCTGAAACGGTCCATTACAATACTATTCTCCCATAGTTTTCTATGGGGCAGCTGAAAATTTTCCCTAAACCTCCGCTTACATGAAATAACACTATGGGACAGGGGAGGGGGGGAGAAGGAAAGAACACTATGGGACAGGGGAGGGGAGGGGAGAAGGAAAGAACACTATGGGACAGGGGAGGGGTGGGGAGAAGAGGAAAGAACATATGGGACAGGGGAGAGAGGAAGAACACTATGGGGCGAGGATGGGAGGAAACACTATGAGGACACTATGGGGCGAGGAGGGAGGAAAAGAAGGAAGGGAGGAGGAAGAAGGGAGGGCACGGACAAGGGGGAGGAAAGAACACTATGGACAGGGGAGGAAAGAGACACTACATATGGGAGAGGGGGAGGAAAAGAACACTATGGGACACTAGGGAGGAAAGAACACTATGGGACGAGGGGGAGGAAGAAGAACACTATGGGGCAGGGGAGGAAAAAGAGACACTATGGGGCCGAGGGGGGAGGAAGAACACTATGGGGCGAGGAGGAAAGAACACTTATGGGGCGAGGGGGGGGAAAAACACTAGGGGAGGGGGGGAAAGAACACTATGGGACGGGGGGGGAGGAAAGAACACTACGGGGGAGGAAACACACTGGGGGGAGGGAGGAAAGAACACTATGGGGCGAGGGGAGGAAAGAACACTATGGGACAGAGGGGAGGAAAGAACACACTATGGGACGAGGGGAGGAAAAATCACTATGGAGACGAGGGGGGGAGGAAAAATCACTATGGGGCGAGGGGAGGAAAATCACTATGGGAGGGAGAACACACTATGGGGCGAGGGGAAAAGAAGAGGACACTATAGGGCGAGAGAGGGAGAGAGGAAAAAAGAACCACTAGGGGAAAGAACATGCGGGGGGAGAAGGAACACTGGGGTAGAGGGGGACCACTAAAAGACAAGGGACATGAACATTAAGGTGAATGGGGGGCACTAAGAGACAGGTAAGGCGAAGGGGGCAGGGGAAAGCGTTCCTACTGCACATATTTATACACACACACACAAACACTGCATCCACTACACAAACACACACTGCATTTACGAATCAAATACTCACAAAACACCAATATTCTTGAAAACATAAAACAAATCTGACACGTATATTTTGTGGCACTGAAAAAAAAAAACGCATTTGCAATAAAAAAAAAAAATAATAATCATGTTCAGTTAACAGTAGATTTGTGTAGAAATGCTTTTTTTTCAAAACGGTAAATGTACAGAATATCGGTAAACTATCGGCCTTAAAGTTCCCAGATTATCGGTAAAAAAATCAATATCCGTCGATCCCTAGTACGAATACAATAAGTCACAGCGAAAAATTTAAATTAATAAATGAAGACAACTTCCGGTAGTAGCTGAAAGCTGCTGTCCACTTTCAAATATCCTTTCAGGTGGTTTTCAAACATTCATTGAATTACATTAAATGTTGGATTGCACTAAATTCATCATAAGGAAGTGCTTTTATGAACGACAGTTTGAAACCAGAAACAAGGGGGTGCCTCTAGAATGTAGGTTTTCATTAAAGGACCACTATAGTGCCAGGAAAACATACTAGTTTTCCTGGCACTATAGTGCCCTGAGGGTGCCCCCACCCTCAGGGTCCCCCTCCAGCCGGGCTCTAGGGTGAGGAAGGGGTTAAACTTACCTCTTTCTCCAGCGCAAGAGCCGCGCGCGCATTCAGCCAGTCTCATAGGAAAGCATTTACAATGCTTTCCTATGGACGCTGGTGTCTTCTCACTGTGAAAATCACAGTGAGAAGCACACAAGCGCCTCTAGTGGCTGTCAATGAGACAGCTACTAGAGGCTTTAGAGGCTGGATTAACCCTCAGTGTAAACATAGCAGTTTCTATGAAACTGCTATGTTTATAAACAAAAAGGGTTAATCCTATCTGGACCTGGCACCTAGACCACTTCATTAAGCTGAAGTGGTCTGGGTGCCTATAGTGGTCCTTTAAAATTTGGGTTGCAAAAATGATGCATGTGCCTCCTGCATATGCAAATACATACAGTACTGCATAATTTTCTATCTGGTGCAGTCTTGCAATGAGGTGCCTGGAATACCCCTCAATTTATCCCACTCCAAACTATTTGCTGTTTTATAGACAAACGAAAGGGCTATACCACTTTCAGCAGTGTATTGTGTCTATGCCACTTCAAATAGTTAAAAATCTAGAAGGCAGACCAATGTCAACAAGCTCAATATGAGTAATTCTTTTGCATCAACCTGAGATGAAGGCTTCTATATTTTTTTCATGAAGCGTGGGAGTTACACTATTAAGATTTCAAGTGATCCAGTACTTCTAGAGATTAAAATTGTTGGATGAATGCTACATATGCGTAGACCAAACTTACGCAAGGTGCTTAATGATAACATAACTTCAGGCCATAACAGATATATGACAAAACATTTTTAGGCGGGTAAGCGGCTTCACATGGAGAAGGCAGATTGTCTATACAGAAACAGTGGAATGTGGAATTTGGAGAAAGAGTGAAGCAGTCAAGCCAAGTACTTTCCCAACCGTTTTATTGTCTTATGAGAAGAGTTCACAAATAAATTAATGTTCAAGTTTTTCATTTGTATTTTGTATAGAATAAATGTTTTGGCTTTATTATGATATTGGGTTCTACCAGCCTGTTTTCATATATATCGTGAACATCACTGGAATAACCATGCATACGTAGGGCGTTCCCCTCTCTCATTATGCCTACCAACTCTCTCATTATGCCTGCTGGTATCTTAGGCTCTTGACCAAGTGAACAAAAGTTCATAAGGATGCAACTGTTTTGTAAAATGTGTATCTATGCTATTTATTTTTATTATTTAGATTTACTTAAATTTAGATGCACCTTGAATACATACGTGTCTATACAGGATAAATTTAGACATTTATATTTGTTTTACTGACCTTTATAAAACGCCAACATATTCTGCAGCTCTCCATACTTTGTTTATTTTAAGTGCAGCACAGTTTTTGGTTTTGTTTAAATAGTTATGTAGACGTTTGTGTAATAGTGCATGCGCTGGCTGTACCAGATTTCCTATAAGCGCCAAGCTCACTTTTGGTGGTTTATTTTGTTTATATATTTTATCATAAAGGATGGGGGTTACACTATGGAACTTTCAAGGGAACCAGTACTTCTATAGATGAAAATGTTTGGATAAATTCTATTTATGCGGGCTAGGCTAGCTCAGTTTTCAATTCGACTATGTTTGGCCTAAAATTTGAATTTAACTTTGTAGAACCCTGCATTCTTACTTGATCCTGCACAATCTAGACAAACTTCTCTCAAAACATGTTACTGCAAGTGAGCAATGCAGGGCAAAGGCAAAACAAGAGCACCTTTACTATGGTCTACAAGTAGCAATAAAACACAGATACTTCAAACACTTGGTCAGCCAATGTCAGCAATTCACCTGCAACAGATAAAAACGCAGTCTTCCAGCATAACAGCAACATAAGATACACACACCTGTCCTGAGAGCTATTTATAAGGCAATATTAAATATTGCATCTCCTGTACATTTCATTTCTCATAACAGTGAATCTGTCAAACTGTATACTCCATTTCCCATGATCATCTGTTGCCTGTTCAACATTATAACTGTACAAGAACTTCACTGCACAACTGTTCTCTAATTTTAAAACACAAACAATATGTAATTAACCAAGAAACCGGCTTTGTGTGTGTATATAATATAAATATATCTACCGGTATATAAATATATTTCCTGCAGTCTCCAAGCTACTATTTATACATACACAGAAAATTTGTACCAGGGCTCTCTCTGTGAATAAACTGATACACAAGGAGTTACAGCATATTTTACAGTATAGTACTAGGAATCTGGGAAAGCAAGTCTCTAATTAACTGAAGGAAAGAGAATAGAGGATCTTTATGGTAAGCCGGCTATCCAGCCTTGCTCCCCAGCCAGGTTACGCTGAGCCGGCTATCCAGCTTTGGTCCGCGGCCAAGTTACGCTGAACCAGCTATCCAGCCTTGGTCCGCGGCCAAGTTACGCTGAGCCGGCTATCCAGCCTTGGTCCGCGGCCAAGTTACGCTGAGCCGGCTATCCAGCCTTGGTCCGCGGCCAAGTTACGCTGAGCCGGCTATCCAGCCTTGGTCCGCGGCCAAGTTACGCTGAGCCGGCTATCCAGCCTTGGTCCGCGGCCAAGTTACGCTGAGCCGACGATCCAGCCTTGGTCCGCGGCCAAGTTACGCTGAGCCGACGATCCAGCCTTGGTCCGCGGCCAAGTTACGCTGAGCCGGTGATCCAGCCTTGCTCCGCGGCCAAGTTACGCTGAGCCAGCCTGAGCCGGCGATCCAGCCTTGCTCCGCGGCCAAGTTACGCTAAGCCGGCGATCCAGCCTTGCTCCTCGGCCAGGTTACGCTAAGCCGGCGATCCAGCCTTGCTACGCGGCCAGGTTACGCTAAGCCGGCTATCCAGCCTTGCTCCGCGGCCAGGTTACGCTAAGCCGGCTATCCAGCCTTGCTCCGCGGCCAGGTTACGCTAAGCCGGCGATCCAGCCTTGCTAAGCGGCCAGGTTACGCTAAGCCTTGCTAGTCAGTTTAACACAGCGCCGTGCTGTTTAAGGTTTACAAACACTCGGAGCAGGCATCACAATGTAAACACGGCCCGGGAGCCCACTGACACACACAGCATGTCTGACACGGCAGGGGGCGCTCACACTGCACGGGGGGCGAGGGGGATGCAGGGAGGGGGTCTGTTTATTGGCAACACATATTAGACGAATTAGCGCCCGCTGAGGCCCAGTGTGAGCGCGCGGACGGCGCCCGGGTGGGCGGGGTCTCGGTGTGTGTACGCGCGCTCGTAACGGACGCAAAGCGGGAAAGCGGCCTCCTCGGACAGGTGTGCGCATGCTCAGTGCCCGGCCGTGGCTGTCTGCGCATGCGCGGTCTGGCTCCACCGATAGGAAGAGGAGGGGGAGCGGGAGCGCGCGCGCGGAGAGCTTGTTGTGGGGAGTGCGCGTTTCCGCGGTATGTGCCGTTATACCGCGGGCGGGAGGACAAAGCAACTCTCAGGCCCACTTACCCCTTTAAGGCGCTTCATAAGGGTGCTCTTTTGGCCGCTTTTAGCTAGTCCTCGCTCCTCCAGTGCCGCCCTCAAATCGGTGACCCGTAGGCTGTCCAGCGGCCTCCCGTCCAGCGTCACGTCCTCCAGCTCCGCCATAATTCGTGCCTCGGGTCCCCACTAACTGGGGGGAGAACAAGACACCGGCTGCGGGGCGCTATACGACCGAGCTCGGCCGATTCCGCTGCGTGACGTCAGCCTCGGGCACTTCCGCCTCTGTGCTCGGGTACAGTCGGAAAATCTCTTCTATTTCCTACTCCTTCCTTCAACGTCACGTTCGGCTACTGTACAGGCCACGCCCAGCTGCCCGGGGCGACTCGTGTATTTCCGGATCTCCAGGAGGCTCGGGAAGTATTTGCTTCTAGCGACATCAAGTGGACATTGCTGGAGCTGCACCTGTGTAAGACTCAAGTAAACATCTCCATATCCCAGATTATTGTCAGGACACCATTTTAACATTGTCCCAGTGTAAACCGCTTAAGGCAATTATCGTTTACACTAGGTTTAACAACCAAGTGTTATTTTACAAGAAATTCAGATGAGCTGCTAATAATTGCATGCACAATGTGGTTACAGGGTCACCCTAATTGCATACAGCCCTCTTTTTTTATATCAGGGAATAGTTTGGTTCATTAATTTCATACCTAGAGCTCTGGAATTTCGACAGCACTTTTCATTTGCTACACATTAGTATGTTCCAGAAAAAGATGCCCAAACGAGTATAGGTTTCCAACCTGCCAGGAGTAAAGTTTGTGCATGTTGTTTAATTTAATAAAGCCTGGTTAAAGTGTTCTAAAGCACAATTTTACGGAATACAATTGTCTAATCATATTCCAATAGTGTGTATTGACAGTGATTACACATCAAATTGATGTATATGTTGCTTAGTTAATCTGTACTCTGAAATGGTACTGAAGAACATGCTTACCCTGGTTCTTTTATTTAAAAAAAAAAAAAAAAAAACTGGATAATGTGGTTTTAAACCTTTTTTTATAGACTTATTCACTAAACTGTTTGTAAGTGACTCAGTGAAATATTTATTCACCAAATTACGTTATTTGCTTGGGTACCTTTTTATGTTCCAGTTCAAATAAGCCAGTTATGTTTCTATATCTTCTATTTCTTCCCCTTGAATTTGCGATTATCTGGTCCAGTGTTTGGTGAATGTTTTTTTCGATTTGTTCATAATGAGGAGAGTACCTGCAATTATTTGAGGTTTTGCTCACATCCATAGATAAGTGTCCTTTTTATTTTTAACGAATGTGTTAACGCAATGTTGACGCCATTGCCATCGTTATGTGGTTATTTGGTAAACTGTACATTGTCAGAAATCGAACAGGGGCTTGCACAATGTAGGCCTGTATAATATGTAAAAAAATAACTGACCGGCTATTTTATTAAAGTGTGAATTCCAAGTGGTTTCAAAGTGAATATCAAATGTAAGGCCGAAGCAGCAAAAAATAATGCATAGCTGTTGACCTAGAGAACTTTTCCAGTTCTGCTTTCATTTTCTATTGAAGTCCTAACTCAAGGCAGACTACTGACCGTTTTAAACTTATAATGTGCTCGTTCTAGTGCAATGTTTGCTCACCACCAGAAACACACACACCATCTGTAAGCAAAAACTGTAAAACACAACACAAACTGTGTTTACATCAGGACATAAACACACAGGAAGTATCCTCCACCTTCATGCTGTTACTTAGTGTCCTTGTTTAACCCCTGCACAGTCATTGATTTTATTTAGTCCTCCAGGGCTTTCTTTCTAATTAACACATTCTGCAACAGCCTTAACTGAGCGTTTTCTTTCACCACAAGGATTTTGTTTTTCAGAGGTGTAGTTTTTGATCTCTTTAGCATTTGAATAAAAACCTGTGGTTCTCATGTTACTATCACTCCCACATTTGTTGCAAACAGAGAATGGCAGAACACAGCCATTGTGTGTTTACCTTGGCAGTATCGTGTAAGCAATTCTGCCCCAGTGATTACTTGTTACTTCTGTGTCAGAGCAGTCTAATGGTTATATAAATGCTGTGTACATATATACAGCTGCAGTGCTTTATCCAACCTGTACTAGATTAAAGGAGTGGCCTAGACTCCATAAATGCCCTTACTACAACTCAAGATGTCAAACCGTTTTAGCATGGTTTGACAACTTATTTGAGTCCCTCCAGGCACCTACCCCACATCTGATCATCCCCAGCAGGAAAAGGTAAATGTGTCTTTAGACCAAATCAGCACCAATGGTCCATGTCTCTGTATATTGGTTGGTTTGTGCACCTTAACCTGATGGAGATATCTTGCTGCTGTGTTCAATAAGGGGTATGGTAACTATACCTCTTTGTGTTTTGTAGACACCTTTTAACATTATTACACCAGCAAAAAAGCACTATGGTTGAGAATGTTAAAAGAAAAAAAAAGTATCTAATTATTTAATTGTTTTAATTGGTGACTTCAAGCACCAATACCATTTCAAATACTTTAAGTGGTTATAGTGCCTGGAGTCTGTATGTCCAGCATTTCTATATGAAACACTGCACTCAGAGTTTAACCCCTTAAGGACACATGACATGTCATGATTCCCTTTTATTCCAGAAGTTTGGTCCTTAACCTCTTAACGATGAGTGACGGACAAGGTCCGTCACTCAGGGGAAACCCTTAACGAGTGACGGACCTTGTCCGTCACCCTGTAAAATTAACCCCAGATCGCCGTGATTGCGGGGTTAATGGTGCTAATACAGAAGCAGACCGGGAGAACCCGATTAGTGCTGCCCAGCACATGTGCTCGCTCTGACAACATGTCAGAGCGAGCACATGTGCATAGTATACTTACCTTCCGCCTCCCTGCACTTCCTAGTTCTGTGTGAAGTGCAGGCAGACAGATCAGTGAGGATTCTGCCCCCGTTAACAAAAAAAATAAAAAATAAAGTTTATTTAAAATCCCACCCCCATTTACTCATTTTAATTAAAAAATTAACCCCTTCCCTGCCAATTGATCACTGACTACAGTGATCAATTGGCAGGGATTACATTTTACTGTCATCTGATTTTTTTTTTTTAATTTCTTTTTTTTTTTAACCCTCAGGGGTTAAATTTATTTAATTAATAATTTAAATATTTTAAAATTATATGTTTAGCTAGCTGGGGTGGGTGGAAGTTAGTGGGGAATTGGGGGATTTGGTGTTAGGCTAACTAGGGGTTAACATTAAAAAAAGTTTTAAAATAAACTTTAAAAAGTTAAAAATTAAGCTTAAAAAAAGTTTTAATAACGTTTAAGTAAAAAAAAAAAAAAACCTACCTTTATACAGTCCAAATAAAAATTAACCCCTTCCCTGCCAGTCGATCACTGCCTACAGTGATCAAAATACAGATCACAGTATTATACTGTGATCTAATTTTTTTTTTTTAACCCCTGAGGATCATTATTTATTTTTTTTATTTTTTTTTTTTTTAAACCCGCAGTGGTTCAATTTATTTAATAATTATATATTTTGCTAGCTGGGTGGGTGGGAGTTATGGGAAAATGAATTTACTGTTAGTGCTGCTTACTGCTAGTTAGGGGTTAACGGTAAAAAAAAAAAAAAGCTTAGAAAAATTTTAAATTTAAGAAAGTTTAAAAAAAAAAAATTAATAAGCAAAACAAAAGTTTAAAAACTAGTTTTTAAAAGTAAAAAAGTTATAAAAAGTAAAAAAATACATTTAAAAACGCTCATTACCACTACACCTGGAACAAACTAGAGAAAAAATTATCCCACGCTAAGGTTCAAAATATGCCTTTTGAATTACCCCATGGTGTATTCTTTAATAAATAGTATGTGTTTGTGGGGAAGTTTCAATACCCAACCGTCTAAACTACTCCAAATTGGAACATGGACACAGCATAAAACTTCAAAGTTAGAAAAAAACTGGCTGCGTCTCAAATGCGCCCATTCAACATCCACATATACCTGGCAAAGGTACATACGGTGGTATTGCTGTATTTAGACGACATAGCTGAGCAACATATGAAGTATTATACACTGGTAGCACACATAAGGTTTGCAAAATATACTGTGCAAACTCAATTTGTGTGTCAAAAAGGCAGAAAAAACACTTATTACCACTACACTTGGTACAAGCTAGCGGAAAAATGATCCCACGCTAAGGTTCAAAATATACCTTTTGAAATACCCTCGGGTGTCTAATTTAAGAAATGGTAGGCCTTTGTGGAGTAGTTTGAATTTAAACCCTGCTAAGATGCTTAGAAATTGCACATAGGCCCAGTGTCAAAATTCAAAGTTCGGTAAAAACGGATATGGCTTGGTCTCCTATATGGCACTGTAGCTTCATGAAATAGTGCCAAAGACATTCATTGGGGGTGTCTTTTTACTCAGAAGACTTAGCCGAGCATAATTTGGGGGGTTTGAACTTAGTGGCACATGTGAAATATACAAAATTCCCAGCAAAAATGCAATCCATATGTAAAAAAACGCGCAAAATTATTTATCACATATATTAGCATATATTGGTGAAAAAATGGGGGCATGTTAAGGCACAATATGCACCTTATGAGATACCCTGGAGTGTCTACTTTTACAAATGGTCGGCCTTTGTGGGCTTTTTTGAACAGTCAAACTGTTTTAATACCCCAAATGGAAGCATAGGCTCATTAAATCCATCCAAAATTCTACTGTGAATACTGAAAAGAACAGGCCTCCTATATGGCACTGTAACTTCACGAAATAGTGCCAAAGGCATACAATGGGGGTGTCATTTTACTCAGCAGATGTAACTGAACACAAAATAAAACTTTGTACAGGAATAGCACACACCAACTTTACAAAATAAACATGAGAATTTCTTTGTTATAAGTTTGTGTGCCAAAAACAAAAAAAACACAATTTTACTCCAATATTTAGCAGAGATTGGCGGTGAAATGGCTACGTAGAAAGTGTCAAAACAACCCTAGGTAAATAGCCAGTGATGTCTACGTTCTATAAATATATACTTTTGTGTGGCAATTTTGTTTTCTTTTATGGCTATTAAGCTTACAAGACAAACATACCAAATTCTAAAATCGCTCAACATTCAACAGTTTATTTTACTCCTTGTGCTTTGTGACCTGTAACTACCAAAAAAAAACTTAAAATCCCAGACACATTACATATTCTGTAAATCAGAACAACTAAATTAATTTATTTTTAATTACTTTCCTTAACCTGCATTAATTATGCACACATTATTATAACAAAAGCTGTAAAAAAAACACAATTTTTATTTTTTGCATTTTTCTGTATTTTTTTTTTTTTTTTAAATAATAAATAAGCATGTATATAGATATATGTCTTACATCAAATTAAAGCCCTTTCTGTCCTTTAAAAAAACAATATATAATATATGTCGGTGCAATAAAATAAAGTAAAATGCAAATTGCAGTTGAACGCAAACAGCAAAAAATGAAAAAAATGCTGTTGTCATTAAGTGAAAGACAAGCTTCTGAACCTCTGTCCTTAAGGGGTTAAAGGAGCACTGTGGGGTCAGGAACGCAAACATGTATTCCTGACCCTATAGGGTTAAAACCACCATATAGCCACCCTGGTCCCCTCATGTCTCCCTAAATATAGTAAATCTTACTTGTATTCAAGTCTGCAGTTGCATGCTTTGTGTCTGTTTCCTTTAGACCTGCCTGCTGACATCAGCAGAAGTGGAAGCCTGATCCAATCCCAGTGCTTCCCCATAGGATTGGCTGAGACTGACAAGCAGGCAGATCAGGGGCAGAGCCAGCACAATTCAAACACAGCCCTGGTCAATCAGCATCTCCTCTTAGAGATTAATTGAATCAATGAATCTCTATGAGGAAAGTTCAGTGTTTGGATGCATTTTAGGCAGTCATGACCCAGGAATGATCTCTAACTCAGCCATCTGAGGAGTGGCCAGTAGAGTTAATCCTAGGCTGTAATGTAAACACTGCATTTTCTCTGAAAAGACAGTGTTTACAGCAAAAAGCCTGAAGGTAATGATTTTACGCACCAGAACAAATTCAATAAGGTGTAGTTGTTCTGGTGACTATAGTATCCCTTTAAACTGTCTGCTACTGAAGGTGTAGCTCCATCACTGCCTGTGTCATTGGGGTGTCATCAGCTAGACTGGAATTAGAGTTTTGAGCTGGTTAATGTCAATGATGTGCAACTTGCATTGTACAGACTGGCATTTATTGTCTGAGAGCAGTCAGATGACATTCTCAGCCAATGAATGACAATGGTATCAGCTTCCCACCCTGCGTCGCCAAACCACCAAAGTAGCTTTGGCATCTGACCGGGACCCAGATAACAGCGCAAAGAGTTTACCCTATTACTGGGGAACTGGACCAGGGTACTATTCATATCATAACCAGTACAGCAGGCTGTAGTGGTATGATGCTGTGAGTAACCCTTTAAGAGATTTTAAAGAGAAACTGACAAATTATTCCACCGACTATAACAGTGAAAATTACCTGTAAGCTATGTTGGCCTTTTTCATATAGTGCTGTTTTCTTTTCTTTTTATGTTAATAATTAAGCAAACATCCTATTCCTGTTAAGTCCAGACACAACTGGAGCAAACATTTAAACGAGGAGGAAAAATATAAATATTTTTATTTCTTCACGTCATAATGTTAAAGTGGTGTGGGTTTCTACATTTAAATTTTCACACCATATACATTTTTATGTGTTAAACATAGGGGATAATTAAACATATATTAACCCCTTAAGGATCGGACTGTTTTTGCGATGTTGTACATTTGCGACTAGGCATCTTTTTACACTTTTGTGGTGTTTGTGTTTAGCTGTAATTTTCCGCTCTCTCATTTACTGTTCCCATACAAATTGTATTTTTTTTTTTTTTTCATGACAAAATAGGCTTTCTTTACATACTATTATTTATATAATCGCATGTAATTTAATTTAAAAAAATATGATGAAAAATTAAAAAAAAATACTTTGTTTTTTGACTTTTACGTGAAAAATCTTTTACTCATCTACAAAAGTGAATGAAAAAAACTGCTAAATAGATTCAACATTTTGTCCTGAGTTTAAAAATACCCAGTGTTTACATGCTTTTTTTGCTATTTGCATGTTATAGGGCTATAAGTACAAGTAGGATATTGCGGTTTCAAAACATACATTTTTTTAAATTTATCAATAGTGACATTGTAACACTATTATTTGTCATAAATCTCTGAATAACACCCCACATGTACATATTTTTTATTTTTTTTTAAAGTAGACAACCCAGGGTATTCAATATGGGGTATGTCCAGACTTTTGTAGTAGCCACTTAGTCGCAAACACTGGCCAAAGTTAGCGTTCATATTTGTTTGTGTGTGAAAAAGGTAAAAAAGAAACGAAATTGAACGCTAATTTTGGCCAGTGTTTGTGACTGTGGTTACTAAAAAAAGACTGTACATACCCCATTTGCTATACCTTGGGTTGTCTTCTTTTGCAAATGGTATGCCATCATGGGGGTAATTCTCATTCCTGGGCTACCATATGCTCTCAAAGTCAACGTAACCAACCTGGCCATTTTCAATGTAAAAATATATGACCCTGTAACTTTCAAAAATGCTATAAAACCTGTACATGAGGGGTACTGTTATACTCAGGAGACTTTGCTGAACACAAATATTAGTGTTTAAAAACTGGAAAACTTATCGAAACAATTATATTATCAGTAAAAGTGCTGTTTGTGTATGAAAAATGCAACAAAGTCACTTTCACTGACAATATCATCGCTGTGATATGTGTTACTGTTTTGAAGCACTAATATTTGTGTTCAGCGAAGTCTCCCGAGTAAAACAGTACCCCCCATGTACAGGTTTTAGGTTGTCGTAGAACGTTACAGAGTAAAATACAGTGCTAGCAAATTAAATTCTCTGGGCTTTCGGCCTGGGTTGGCAGGCAGGTCCCTCAAATTGCAATCAATAAAATTACTGAATTAGGTAAAAATATTACATAAATACGCACGTAGAATTTCATTATATAAGCATATTTATATATTTGAAGTCTACGTGTATATTTATATAATTATTTCTGTCAGTATATTTGCTGTGATACTTTTTAATGTTTTGAAACACAAATATTTGTGTTCACCGAAGTCTCCGGAGTACAACAGTACCCCTCATGTACAGGTTTTATGGTGTTTTCAAAAGTTACAGCGTCAAATATAAGGCTTGCGTTTCATTTTTTTCACATTAAAATTCGCCAGATTGGTTTCGGTGCCTTTGAGACCCTATGGTAGCCCAAGAATGAAAATTACCCCTATGATGGCATACCATTTGCAATAGTAGACAACCCAAGGTATTGCAAACGGGGTATGTCCAGTCTTTTTTAGTAGCCACTTAGTCACAAACACTGGCCAAAATTGGCGTTTTTTTGCATTTTTCACACAAACAAATACTAACGCTAACTTTGGCCAGTGTTTGTGGCCAAATGGCTACTAAAAAAGACTGGACATACTCCAATTGCAGTACCTTGGGTTGTCTACTATTGCAAATGGTATGCCATTATGGGTGTAAATTTCATTCCTGGGCTACTATAAATTTTAAAATGTAATGTGCTATATTTGACCCTGTAACTTCCCAAAACGCCATAAAACCTGTACATAGGGGGTACTGTTTTACACGGGAGACTTTGCTGAATACAAATATGTGTATTTTATTGCAGTAAAAGCAAACCGTATTATGACATTGACAGTTAAAATGTCATGTAGAACTAAAAAAATAAAAAAATCTTATTTTCTCCCATTTTTTTTTCATATTAAATTATGTTTCATAGCTAAATATTTGATATTAAATGAAAGCCCTGTTTCCCCTGAATAAAATGATATATAATAAGGGTGGGTGCATTTAATATGAAAGAGGTGAATTACGGTTGGACAGACATGTAGCGCAAATGCCAGGTTTTGTTTACATTTTGTTTCGTTCACAACGTGTACATTTGGCTCCGTCCTTAAGGGGTTAAAGTAGATACATGGACACCCAGGTAGGACTCCTTTTTACTAGGGATCGACAGATTATCGGCCGATATTCGGCATTTTCAGCAATATCTGTATCGGCAAATAGAGATACTGATATTGCCGATAGTACATACCAGGACCACCGGGCCCATGACAAGCCCGGCGGTCCTGGGGGGCCCAGCAATAGCTAACTTACCTTCCCTTCAGCTCCCCTGTGTAAATCTTGCGAGTTTTGTGGCCGTCAGAGCCTTGCCACTGGTTACCATGGCTACGCTCCGAGCAGCACACTGGCCGCGAGACTTAAACAGGGGAGCTGAAATGAGCTGCTGGGAAGGTAAGTAAGCGCTTACTGGTCCACAGTCCATGCCCCCAGACCACCAGGAAATGACCGCGCCCTCTCTGGCCAAGAAACAAGCAGGGAGGGTGAAATAAAAAATAAAAATAAAAAACATTTTAATATTAAAATTTTTTTTAATTAAAAATGCCTTCCCCTCCCATTTTACACAAATTACATACCTACAGAAACACACACACACACACTCTGCATTACATATACACTGCTTTCACTATACACATACTACATAAATACAGTGCATTCACTATACACACACACTTTGCAATCATATACACACCTCTCACAAACAATTTTTTGTTAATTGTTTGGGTACCTTAATAGACACAGTGTTCTGTTTTCTTATTCTATGGTTATTTAACGCAGGGTTGGCGCAAGGTTGCCCTGTCGACTAGAAATTTTGTCCTGGTGCCTGGTTGTCAGCCCGTTTAGCGGCTGCGGAATCAACCTTCCCACACCGCGGCAACTGGCTAAGGGAGAATGAAGGTGACGAGTGCTCTGCTCCCTCACACATCTTGTAGTTATGCCAGGAGACAATGTCACTCTGACCTGGACATCATTGAATGGAGCAAAGCAAGAAGATCTTTTAAATTACAGTAGCCACACTGGACCCCAGGGAAAGGATCCATTCCAGCTCTCCCAAAGTTGGGAGTCTGGGTGGACTTAAAGGACCAGTCTAGGCACCCAGACCACTTCAGCTTAATGACGTGGTCTGGGTGCCAGGTCCAGCTAGGCTTAACCCATTCTTTTGTAAACATAGCAGTTTCAGAGAAACTGATATGTTTATGAATGGGTTAAGCCTTCCCCCAAAGCCTCTAGCGGCTGTCTCATTGACAGCTGCTAGAGGCGCTTGCGTGATTCTCACTGTGAAAATCACAGTGAGAGCACGCAAGCGTCCATAGGAAAGCATTGCTAATGCTTTCCTATGCGACCAGCTGCGCGCGCAGCTAGCCGACGGGGAGGAACGGAGGAGGATCGGAGGCAGAGAGATCCCCGCCCAGCGCTGGAAAAAGGTAAGTTTTACCCCTTTCCCCCTTCCAGAGCCGGGCGGGTGGGGGCACCCTCAGGGTACTATAGTGCCAGGAAAAACTAGTATGTTTTCCTGGCACTATAGTGGTCCTTTAAATGAAAACCAAATAATAATTTGTGAGTGTTTCAGTGTGTGTGTCTCAGCTAATATGTATCGGTCAGTGAGTGTCAAATCTTATGAATATGTGTCTGTCTGCCAGTGTGTGTGTGTGGCAAATTGGTAATGCAAGTAGTTATATATTCTATTGTCTATAACTGTTCCCAAGTCCTTCTCCACACAGCAGCCACAAGTATCACAGATGTAACCTTACTTTTTTTGTGTGTGTGTGTATTTACATACATAAACACTGATCAGCCACAGCATTAAAATATCCTACCGAATATCGTGTAGGTTCCCCTTGTGTTGCCAAAATAGATGTGAGGCATTGAGGCATGGACTCCACAAGACCTCTGAACATGTCATGTGGTATCTGGCATCAAAACATTAGCAGCATATCCTTCAATTCCTGCAAGTTGTGAGGGGTGGCCTCCATGGATTGGATTTGTTATTACAACACATCACACAGATGCTCAATCAGATTTCGATCTGGAGACTGTTGTGTTCCTCAAACCATTCCTGAACAATTTTTCAGTGTGTCAGGTTGCATTATCCTGCTGAAGGAGGCCATTGCCAACAGGGAACACCATGGACATGAAGGGGTGTACGTGGTCTGCAACAATGTCTAGGTAGGTGGTACGTGTCAAAGTAACATCCACATAAATGCCAGGAACCTGGGTTTCCCCAGCAGAACATTTGTTGTCCAAAGCATAACACTGCCTCTGCCGACCTGCCTTCTTCCCATAGTGCATCCTGCTGTCACCTCTTCCCCAGGTAACAACGCACCAAAATGTAATTCATCAGACCATGTACCCTTCTTCCATTGCATCATTGTCCAGTTCTGATGCCCACGTCCCCATTGAAGGTGCTTTCAGAGGTGGACATGGGCTCTCTGATCAGTCTGATTATTCACTTGCTGCCTAATGCCCAATACCCTTGACAGGTGCCATTGTAACGACATAATGAATGTTATTAACTTCACCTGTCAGTGGTTTTAATGTTGTGGCTGATCAGTGTATATTACGTTACATCATTTGACACATGATCATTAAAGAAACACTCCAAAACTTTAACCCCTTAAGGACCGGCCTGTTTTTGCGATGTTGTACGTTAAAGACCAGAGCAGTTTTGACACTTTTGTGGTGTTTGTGTTTAGCTGTAATTTTCCGCTCTCATTTACTGTTTCCATACAAGTTATATATTGTTTTTTTCAGGACAAGAAGGGCTTTCTTTACATACCATTATTTGTATTATGTCATATAGTTTATTTAAAAAAAAAATATGGTGAAAAATTGAAGAAAAAAATGTTTTTGGACTTTTACTTGAAAAATCTTTTACTTATCTACAAAAGCTAATGAAAAAAACTGCTAAATAGATTCACAATTTTGTCCTGAGTTTAAAAACACCCAGTGTTTACGTGCTTTATTGCTTTTTCTTGCAAGTTATAGGGAAATTGCGCTCTCTCTCTCTCTCTCTCTCTCTCTCTCTCTCTCTCTCTCATATCAATAGTGACATTGTAACACTGTTATCTGTCATAAATCCACGAATCACACCTCACATATTTTTTTTTTTTTTTAAAGTAGACAACCCAGGTTATTCAAAATGGGATATGTCCAGTCTTTTTTAGTAGCCACCTAGTCGCAAACACTGGCCAAAGTTAGCATTTATATTTGTTTGTGTGTTTAAAAATGCAAAAAAACGCTATCTTTGTCCAGTGGCTACTAAAAAAGGCTGAACATACCCCATTTGCAATACCTTGGGTTGTCTTACATAGAAACATAGAATGTGACGGCAGATAAGAAACATTCGGCCCATCTAGTCTGCCCAATTTTCTAAATACTTTCATTAGTCCCTAGTCTTATGTTATAGTTAGGATAGCCTTATGCCTATCCCACGCATGCTTAAACTCCTTTATTGTGTTAACCTCTACCACTTCAGCTGGAAGGCTATTCCATGCATCCACTACCCTCTCAGTAAAGTAATCCTTCCTGATATTATTTTTAAACCTTTGCCCCTCTAATTTAAGACTATGTCCTCTTGTTGTGGTAGTTTTTCTTCGTTTAAATATAGTCTCCTCCTCCACTAACCACCGAGCATACCCGGGTCCACACTGCGGGACATGGCCATGGGAAAACAGCGGAGGAGGAATGCTGCCTCCGGCCGGTGAGAGTCAGCAGAGAGCCGGGAGATGGGGTGCAGCTGGAAGAGATAGTGGGATGATGGTGGGTCATGGCAAGGGTACAGTAAGTGATGATGCAGGGGTGCTTTGTTTTCATGCAAATCACTTTGAAATGACTTATTTATGTACTCAGAGCATGTGTTCTATATATACATTTTAAGGTCCGACTATCAAGTTTTCACTAACATTGTTTTGTACCAGTATTTGTGAATTTACACAACTAGAAGTACATATATATATATATATATATATATATATATAGTATAGTTGAAAAAGGATGCACTCAGAGGTCTTTTTAGAAGAAATATAGTGTATTTTAATCCATATAAGGTTTACAAATGACTTGATCGACGTTTCGACCCAATAGGGTCTTCCTCAGGATCAATATGTAAACATAAAACCTACAAATATATAGGAAAACATAAAATGTACTCACCAATTGTGTTACAGTTCCCTCATCCCTCCCGTCCGAACCCGGAAGTAAAAACCGGAAGTGACGTAACGTGAACGAAATTACGTGTTCAACTATTAGCTGTGAACGTGGTTACTAGGAAACCAATACACATATCAAGAATTGGTTTCAAAAACCGAGTAGGTGCTGAAATATAAGTGGCTATTTAACCATTATATATATATATATATATATATATAGCCAGTATCTGCAGTGTATGTAGAATCATTCAGTAAAAGTGCCAGTGCAAAGATAAAAAATATAAGTGCCTGTTCAAAATACATCAAAGACAGCTGTGATAAAGTGACTAGTGCCCAAAGTGAAAAGAGCTATATATACTGAGACAAAAAAATTGCATCTTAAAAACATAAATATTAGCCATGGAGAAAATAGCAGTATAGCATAATTATTATCAATATAATATCAATTAGTATTAATCTATAAGTTCTAAAGGCTTTAGAGGCATAAATATATTATAGAATCTGATTATCAAAGCAAAAGATTTTTGTATGAAAAGTGCTGCACGGTCAAAGAGTAAATTCATAAAGTATGAGATACTATCTCTAATAAATCCAAAGTTGTTTAGGGAATTTAAATATTATATCTTGTCTTAAAGGGTCCACAAGCAACGGAGTGTATATTCTCCAAAAATTATATAGGGCAGAGTATATATATGAATGAAAATGGATTAAAGGAACATAGAGTATACAATGTTTGGATTTATTAGAGATAGTATCTCATACTTTATGAATTTACTCTTTGACCGTGCAGCACTTTTCATACAAAAATCTTTTGCTTTGATAATCAGATTCTATAATATATTTATGCCTCTAAAGCCTTTAGAACTTATAGATTAATACTAATTGATATTATATTGATAATAATTATGCTATACTGCTATTTTCTCCATGGCTAATATTTATGTTTTTAAGATGCAATTTTTTTGTCTCAGTATATATAGCTCTTTTCACTTTGGGCACTAGTCACTTTATCACAGCTGTCTTTGATGTATTTTGAACAGGCACTTATATTTTTTATCTTTGCACTGGCACTTTTACTGAATGATTCTACATACACTGCAGATACTGGCTATATATATATATATATATATATATAATGGTTAAATAGCCACTTATATTTCAGCACCTACTCGGTTTTTGAAACCAATTCTTGATATGTGTATTGGTTTCCTAGTAACCACGTTCACAGCTAATAGTTGAACACGTAATTTCGTTCACGTTACGTCACTTCCGGTTTTCACTTCCGGGTTCGGACGGGAGGGATGAGGGAACTGTAACACAATTGGTGAGTACATTTTATGTTTTCCTATATATTTGTAGGTTTTATGTTTACATATTGATCCTGAGGAAGACCCTATTGGGTCGAAACGTCGATCAAGTCATTTGTAAACCTTATATGGATTAAAATACACTATATTTCTTCTAAAAAGACCTCTGAGTGCATCCTTTTTCAACTATACTATTTATCAGCATAGGTCTGCACCGGGGCACAGTGACTATTACCTCTTTGAAGCAAGGGTGAGTGCCATTATTATGTTTTATAAAATTGTGGGTGTTTGCTACACCTTTATGCGCACCCCCTCACGGATTATTAACTAAACAGTGAACTATCCCTCATTTGGAATTTTTTGTGGCAGCCATGGAGGACTTTTTGGCTAAAGCAGGAGCTTTAATAGAATCTGCAGAAACTCTTACTATTTCAGATGAACAAGCTAGTGCTATTCTCTGGCCACAAACCTCGGGTGAATTAGCACATACCAATTCTATACAGGATCTTTATAACGATCTTATCAAATTGAAAAAAAGAGAAATAGATTTAGATCTGCATGGGGTCTTTATATCAGACTACCACAGATCCAAAAGGATACCTAGAGGTTTTAGGGTGAGAAATGCACCCACCATAGGACGGCAAAATCCTGATTTTTGTAGGAAGTGGATGCAAATATCCAATAAATGCTCATTAGATTGGATGGTTATCGTAGTGGAAGAAGTTGGCAGAGAACTTATATTCGTCAAACAGTCTATACAGAATATAGAAACAACGAATTCTAACATGTTACAAGCCTCCACTGCAACCGTTCAAATGCTAAAACTACAAGATGAAATAAGTAGATACAAAAATGAACTTATTCGTTTTAAAAAACAGAAATTGGAAAAAGTGAATAATGATTATAAATTCCATCAGGTATACAGATGGTTGGGAGGATCGCAGGATACCCATAGATTTAATGCGAGATTTAGAACCAAAATACGTAAACCATCCTTCCAAACGATCGATGCTAGCTCTGGGGATTCAACGTCTGACCCGGACAGCAGAGGCGATAACAGAGCCCAGGCCGGGGCCAATTTTTTAGAAGAAGGCCCACCACCAAGGGAACCACCAGATATTCCCCGTATCAACACCCGAGGCGCAAAAAGAACCGCCCTATACGACGAGGACAGAATAACTGGAAAAAACATAAATCCGACTGGAAGACCCCCGAGAATACGGAAATGACATCTGTATTTAATCTGTCAGAAAAAATTTTAAATGCTGATCATTATTCCGTTTTGAATAAAGGACTCTCATTTGTCCCAGTGTCCAGACCAGATCCATTTCAAACGGAAATTGAAATTTATAAGACTCAGCGCACACTTTATAGCAACGAACTCAGAAAGGATAATACAACGGAACATGTCCATCCATTCTATAAGAAATCTAACAAGGACATACGTACTTTTAATTCTTCCATTAAAACTTTCATTCAAACTTTGAAAGCAGACACAGAGCAAATATTTAAGAACCCTCCAAAATACCATCAGAACCTTACTAAAGGAGAAAAAATGGCTCTTAAAGATCTTAGTGATGATCCCAACATAGTGATTCACTCTGCTGACAAGGGTGGAGCCACGGTTATACAATCATATCGAGACTATCGTCAAGAAATTCTACGTCAGTTGGATGATATTGCCACATATATAAAACTTACCTATGATCCTGCCAGTAAATTTCAGACAAGGATTAAAAACCATATAGAATTGGGAATCCGCAATGGATATTTAGATGATAAAACAGCACAATACCTATATGTTATAAATCCAAAACATCCAGTGTTATACACACTACCTAAAATCCACAAAGATCCCATGAAACCGCCTGGCAGACCCATTGTGTCAGCCAAAGAGGGCTTACTTGAACCTGTCACGAAATATATTGACTTTCATATTAAAAAAAGTGTAATGGCATTACCCACATGTCTACGTGACACTCAGGATTTTATTCATAAAATCAATTTAATTCCAGACATCGAAGAATCACATCTACTAGTTACTATGGACGTCCAAAGCCTGTACACCGTCATACCTCATAATGACGGTGTCCAGGCTTTGAGAGAGGTCCTTAGTTCCTCCTCATTATATGTGGGACCACCTATAGAGTTCCTTATGGAGTTCTTACTTATTGCTCTTTCTTGCAACTACTTCAAATTTGAAAACAATTTTTTTCTACAAACGTCTGGGACAGCTATGGGTGCAGCCATGGCACCCTCCTATGCTAATGCTTTCATGTTTGTTTTTGAAAATGCATGGATTCTACAGAAATATGGACATCAAATTAAACACTACCATCGCTTTGTCGATGATATTTTTTTGATCTGGATGGGTAATATGGAAGAATTGGACTCCATGCTACAAGAGATCAATCAAGCCTCTACACCAGTGAAGTTAAGTATGACATGTGACACACAATCTATAGAATTCTTGGATGTGACTGTATTTAAAAATCAAGGCAAGTTGGAGTTCACACTATATCGCAAAGAGACAGAGCGAAACACCTTACTATTATCTTCAAGTTTTCATCCTAGGAATTTTAAAGCCTCTTTACCTATATCCCAGTTTCTGAGGGTATACAGGTATAACAGCACCAACGAAAGATGTGAGATACAACTTAAAGAAATGTGGAATAGATTTAGAGCTAGGGGATATCCCTATTGTACTCTTGAACTAGCCTTAAAAAAAGCGAAAGAAATATGGGAATCTGAAATGAAGAATAACAAAAAAGTCAAAACAACGACAACATCGAGGATATTCCTACCCCTAACTTTCCACACAGGGACCTCAAGAATTAGAGACTCCATCTACAAACACTGGGATATGTTACAAACAGACAAACAACTACCCAAATCTTTTCAAAATCGACCGATGCTAAGTTACAAGAGGAATAGAAACCTCAAAGATATCCTTGTAAAAAATGATCCCAGACACTGCTATATTAAAACTCCCAAAATTGTCAAAAAAGGATGTTTCAAATGTGGAGGATGCGTTACCTGTAGTCACATGGTCAGTGGGGCTACTTTTGCCCACCCTCATAGTGGTCAAAGAATCAGTATTTCTCAATATATCACTTGTACCACTGACCATGTGATCTACTTAATTACGTGCCCGTGTGGACTATCCTATGTGGGTAAGACGGACCGTACCCTCAGGGATCGGATACGGGGTCATCGATCTACAATTACAACCGCATTTCGGGACAATTATAGCGATAAGCCGGTGGCGAAACATTTTCTTGCTCTAGGACATCGACTACCAACTCTCCGTTTTACAGCCATTGATCACATTCCCCCCTTACCTAGAGGGGGAGATAGATCCAAGATACTTCTACAGAAGGAGGCACGATGGATACATCGTTTGGACACAGTAGCACCTAAGGGGCTCAATGAAAACATTGTATACTCTATGTTCCTTTAATCCATTTTCATTCATATATATACTCTGCCCTATATAATTTTTGGAGAATATACACTCCGTTGCTTGTGGACCCTTTAAGACAAGATATAATATTTAAATTCCCTAAACAACTTTGGATTTATTAGAGATAGTATCTCATACTTTATGAATTTACTCTTTGACCGTGCAGCACTTTTCATACAAAAATCTTTTGCTTTGATAATCAGATTCTATAATATATTTATGCCTCTAAAGCCTTTAGAACTTATAGATTAATACTAATTGATATTATATTGATAATAATTATGCTATACTGCTATTTTCTCCATGGCTAATATTTATGTTTTTAAGATGCAATTTTTTTGTCTCAGTATATATAGCTCTTTTCACTTTGGGCACTAGTCACTTTATCACAGCTGTCTTTGATGTATTTTGAACAGGCACTTATATTTTTTATCTTTGCACTGGCACTTTTACTGAATGATTCTACATACACTGCAGATACTGGCTATATATATATATATATATATATATAATGGTTAAATAGCCACTTATATTTCAGCACCTACTCGGTTTTTGAAACCAATTCTTGATATGTGTATTGGTTTCCTAGTAACCACGTTCACAGCTAATAGTTGAACACGTAATTTCGTTCACGTTACGTCACTTCCGGTTTTTACTTCCGGGTTCGGACGGGAGGGATGAGGGAACTGTAACACAATTGGTGAGTACATTTTATGTTTTCCTATATATTTGTAGGTTTTATGTTTACATATTGATCCTGAGGAAGACCCTATTGGGTCGAAACGTCGATCAAGTCATTTGTAAACCTTATATGGATTAAAATACACTATATTTCTTCTAAAAAGACCTCTGAGTGCATCCTTTTTCAACTATACTATTTATCAGCATAGGTCTGCACCGGGGCACAGTGACTATTACTTCTTTGAAGCAAGGGTGAGTGCCATTATTATGTTTTATATATATATATATATATATATATATATATAATGTCTATGGAAGTACGACCGGCCCAAAATGGCCCCCGCGTTTCTCGACCACCAGAGGTCAGTGCGGCATATATGTATAATATGTCTATGCTTAATAAGGTCAGTTGGAGTTCTGATAGGCTAAAGCAGTCAGCTGACGCTAAACCAATCACAACTGCCCATTGCTGCTGAAGCTGATACTTCATCTTTAGCAAAAGCAGCAGGGGCATATTTAATGCATTTAGCATTAATATATGAAAACATTAAAAATTGTTTAATGCTGAATTAAATCATGGTACCAGAGGATTCCAGACCCTAAAACTAGTTTAATGAGATGAAGCAGATATAGTATCAATTTAAGGACGGAGGCAATTGTACAAATTCTGATGAAAACAAAACCTAGAATTTGAGCTGTATGTCTGTTCAACCATAAATTAGCTCTTTCAAATTAAGTGCACCTACACTTTTACATCATTTTGTTCTGGAGCAATAGGGCTTTCATTCCACATCAAATAATTATATATAACACAATTTAATATGAATAAAATCTAGAAAAGTGTGAGAAATTAAGAAATGTTATTTTCCAAGATCTGCATGTAGTTTTGACTGTGACTGTCCTAATACTGTTAGCATTTACTGCAATATATTACACGTTTGTATGCTGCAATGTCCCACAGGTACAACAATGCCCCCCCATGTACAGGTTTTATGGTGCTTTGGAAACTTACCAGGTCAAATAAAGAGTTTGTCTATTTCAGTTTTTACACATTGAAATTGACTGGTTTGCTGGGCATATGTTTCCTTTAAGACCAGCACAGGAATGAGAATTACCCCCATCATAGCATACCATTTGTAAAAGTAGACAAACCAGGTTATTCAAAATGCCCAGTATATTTTTTTAGTAGCTGCTTACTCACAAACCGTTGGAAAATATATATATATTAATTAATTTTATTTTTTTTGGCACTTTCACTGATATTGTCATTTTACAAGTTTTAAAACACTCTCATATTTGTGTTTAGCTAAATCTAACAAGTAAAACATTTACCCCTATGTTCAGGTTTTATGGTGTTTTGGAAAGTTACTTTGTCAAATATAGAGCTTGCAAACAAAAAATTCCCAACTTCAAAATACCCCAACAATAGTGTAAAACATACTAATGATTTTTTTAAATAACTCTGCTTCAAACTGCCGATCAGGTCCATGTTTTCGGAAGGACCAGATTGGCTGAAGGAAGTGTGTCCGACAGTCCCATCCCCCTTTTGACACTCCAGACCCCTAAAGCACTCTAGCTTGCAGAAAAGCATTATATGTGGAGTGCATTTTTTTTTTTTTTTTTTTTCTTTTTTCCAAAGCGCAGATTTCAATAGAAATTGACACTTTTGTGAATTTAGCTGGTTTACACCTCCCTGGTCCTGTTACTTCCTGATTTGGTTAGCTTAACGGAGCTAAACTCAAGAGGCAGTCAATTACCCAGAGCATCTGCCTTGCAAAGACATCTCATTGAGCTGCATTGGGAAGTCTGTGATTGGACAGCCACAGAAAGTTTGGGCGGGGTTAGAAGAGGAGTGCTTGCACAGGCTGCAGGCAGAAGAAATGCAGGTTTTGCAAGTGGTTTTTAGATTAGGCCCCAATGAAAAAATGCATAATTAAATGCATGTAAATTTTAATTTGGAGGTATTTCTACTAAACAGTAATTTTTATTTTGTATTTGGGCAGTGGAGAGTCCCTTTTAAGCTTTCTTTCTTGCAGTGTTCAGCAATGGTGGAAGCATTTGCTCAAGCAGCAGTGATCGGCTGAAAGTGTCAGTTGAGGTGCTTAGACTATCACTGGCTGCCCATAATAAGTAATGCTTCAGTAATGTAAGTATTTCCGTGAAGCATTCGTCGCGATGGGTGCCCAGTAATAGGCTGAGAGCTCTGTGGAAACTCTAAGCCTACTGCTGGTGCTTGAGCAAACTCTTCCACATTTGCTGAACACTACATGAATGGACACTGGAACAGTTGACTCTGCATTAAACTGTGAAAATAGTTCACTTGAAATAAGTCTCTGTATATGCTGATTTGCTTCTATTTCGGATGAAATTTGAAATTAGCTTTAAATTCCCACCAATTCTCAGTTCATGAATAACCCTGTCAATGCCATGCATAGCATTTCCTTCTGCTATACTGATGAGTGTTCTAATGGCAATGTATTTTACTACTGAAACTAAGTTTCATTGTAATTTTCCCCACATTTCTATTAGTACGCGATAACAAGTAATTGTTCCTTGAACTGGTGAATATTTCCCTCTGCATTATTTATTGGACATTTTACAGAATGTGTATGACTTGTAGCAAGTTTATACAGTTGAACATTTTATCACTGTATTATGCTTGACTTATTATCTGATATGCTTAGTTATTGTTCAACTTTTACTCCGATATAACCACTGTTGCTTATTTTCAGTGCATTTTAATCTACTTCTTTAAGTATTTCTGAAGTTATTTCAGAACTACTTCTGCATTGACAATCTATTTATCATTTGTTTCAGATAATGTCAGAGGAGGATAACCCCATCTCGTACATCCCTTCTCAGGAAATGCGCTGTGTTCTGCATTGGTTCTCAGGGTGGTCAGAGCCTCAGCGTAGTCGCTTCATGGAAGACCTGCTTTGCAAGGCTGTTCCTGGAAAATTATTCCTTCTACTAGAAGGACTGAACTCACTGCAGCTAAATGCTCCACCTCCCAGTCTCTTTCAGTGTCAGATGAAGCTCTGGGATCAATGGTTCCAGGGATGGGATGAGGATGAGAGGAATGAATTCTTGCACCGTCTTGAGCTTCAGGAACCTGCGTTTGTAGCTAAATTCTACCAGGAAGTGGCAGGAACTGTGGGCAAGGATTGAGAGAAGAGCAGCAAGAAACAGAGATTGTGGCTCATGGGAGGAGTAATGGTTAGTGTGAGCAAAATATCAGCCAGCTGTGTTTGCAGAGAGTTTATGTACTAATATATTACTTGATTTGTGCATATTTCTCATTAAACCAAGGTCAGAAATTTCTCTAGTGTTGATTATTACACTACATAAGAGTTGTTGTTTTTTTTCACAGCTGGCTAAAAGGGAACTATAACAATATATAGCAATCTATTCTGCAGTGCAGAACCCTCACTTAACTACATGTCATGGTTTTGAAAGTACCATATATGGAATAACTCCTGCTTGCCTTGATTATTTCCTTATGTACTATATATATATATATATATATATATATATATATATATATATATATATATATATATATATATATATATATATATATATATATAATATCCACAAGAAAGGCTGCACTTCACGGTCTTATTCAAAACTCTTTTATTAGGTATACCTTAAAAAAGATCAACGTTTCAGCCCCATGTTGGGCTTTCCTCAGGAGCAAAAAAAGGACATATGTGGATATTCTATGTGAACCAGCCAGTATGCTTTGGCACCCGGCATTTACCAAAACAGCGTGAGTGCAAGAATTTTTTATATGTATATATCTTTTATTTTTTTTTATTTTTTTAAGTAATACTTTGTACTCGTTATACAAATGAACTTTGTAGCGGAATTAATTTAAATGAGCAACAATATTCTTTCCTATGCCATACAACACCACCAAGTTGTTCCCTTCTGTTGTGTCAGAATATCTTCATCTACGACCTGAGATTGATAAATATCGTGCACTATCAGAGATTGCTTCTTGTGTCTTTTCCATGCGAGCATGAGAATAAATATTATGGGGAAAAGTGCACCTAAACAGGCCCATGTCAGATAAGTATTTGTATCCACATTTGGGTTTAAAGTGGGGCAACTGTAGTCCAAAATCCTGAAAAAGAAGAAATAATGGAAACTGTTGTGAGCTATGTGATGATTTTTGTAAAATGGTTCAATGTGGTTTTACATACGATTTCAAATAAGCAAACAACCCGTTAATCAAAATGTTAAATGACAAAAAATGATTTCAGAAAAAGTTTCTCTGTGTAAAAAAAGTTTTAGTGAGACTGTAAACAAAGACATTACATGGGACAATAAAGATATGTTTGTGTTGATATCTGACCTGATGAGAACTGTTGAAAATTTAGATGAATTGTACATTATGGATGGAGTTCCAGAACAGGCTAGTTTGAGCAGAGCTAAATGAGATGGTGTATCTAAATTACGTCCAGGGCAGTCTTCAGAACCCACAGCTGTTATAAAGATAGAGAAGACTAGATCTGTCCTTGGAGTGCCTTGTAGGAGACATCTGTAGAAACAAAAATATTGTTTTTCAATTTTGCACCTCCACTTTCAAAATATTCTTTAACGAGATACTTTTTTTTTTTTTTTGTAGTGCAATGACATAACAGTGCAACATTATAGCACAATATGCCAGAATAGCAAAAGAGATGGTAAATATTGCAAACTTCACAAAACAGTAAATCTGCACATTTTGAAATAAATGAAGTACAGTAGTGTACATAAACAGCAAAGTGTCTAAATAACCAAAGAGAGTAAATAAAGACATATATCTACACAGTGTTTCCGAATAAAGATACATTAACCACAGGGAAGCCTCCCAAAATCAGCAGGAGAATAACTGAATGCATGCTACATGAAGTACCAATATCAAGCAAGCTTGCTCAAGGATATGAGACAGTCATCCTATGCCCAGGCTAGGTAAGATGCGAGGATTTGCACAGGATTACCACAACAAGGCAGGTTTATCAGGCTCAGGACCGCATCCACGCCAATCCAGAGCACAATCAGGGACTAACACCAGTCCTCCATGCACCTGGCAAGGCAATGTGGACCGTTCCATCCCCTTGGGGATGTGCAAAGAGACCCTGGCATATTCTGTTTGTTGTCTGCAGCATATGTGGGCGGATGTATTGAGGGCTTTGCCCGAATGACTTTCGGCCATGGAAGCACCCTGTTGTGTGCCTCGTTTTTGCCCTGTACAGGCCCCAATAATCCTCCTCCAAGCCGCATGTTGGTGCATGCTCCAAAGGGTAAATAACAGGTTTGAAGAGGTCTTGGTGCAAAGACAGCTCATCTTAAAACTTGTCTCTGATGTGATCAAAAGGTTGCTAATATTGCAGCCATAGATAGCCAAAAGCCCTGCAACATGGCCTAAGTGGCAATCCTGGAACAATCAACCGCTGGCCCCAACGGCATCTTGTGATCTGAACGGACTAACAGCCTCCTCTGGGGGGGGTCAGGGATAATTCCCACTGGTCTGCGGTTGGAAAGAGGACCAAGGCCAGTCAGGGATCAAGCCACTGCAGATGATCGGCCACCTCCTCCACCTCAGATTCTCCCCTAGACTTCAAGGTAGTCTGATAAGATCCCTACCCACCACAACCAGCAAGGCTCAGACCAAGCACCCGACAGAGTGCTCCTCAGGAAGTATACATTTTAGACGAACATAAGACTAAGAATGTAGATTTACAAGAAAAATTATAGGCTTAGTCTGAGGAGCTCCAACTATGTGCAACTGACTCAGGTTGGCTATCAGACCACGCCACCCCAAGAGATACATTTTAATTCACCAATTTACAAACATGATTTCTGGAAATGTTGAAGCTATGCACTGCTCTTCCTTCCCTTTTAAATATTTCAAGTGATGCTCCAAGCAACAAAAACTTCTTATTACATATGTTATGGTGCAAGGATTTCCCTGTTCATTTCTACCTTCATTACTTACAATATAGTTGGTGAAATTAAGTTGAGTCAAAAGGTAAGGTAAGTAAAGTTGAGTTTTCAAATTACATATATCAGTTGTTGTAACAAAGAAACAAGTAGTGAAATGTACCAATCTACCACAATAAAGTGTGACAAGTCTTGACAGAACTCAAGTGAAATAAAAGTAATATAAAATCATAACACACCATATTACTAAAATGTTCCAGTGAAAGACACCTTGGTTAACACTAAAGACATTGGGGAGGTGGCAAGTGAGGAAAAATACAGATTAAGGAGCAATGCGCACAAGAAGGTTTCAATTTTACAAGACTACTTAACCCCTTAAGGACACATGATGTGTGACATGTCATGATTACCTTTTATTCCAGAAGTCCTTAAGGGGTTAAAATTGCCCCCTCCTCCCCATTTTATTTTTTTTCTGAGGAGAGGAAAGATAAGCATGAGAAGGAAAACCTAAAGTAAATAAAAGTATTGAAAATAAGTGTGCTCTTGCTTCCATTTCCACTTTCACACACAGGGCACACAGTGTGTGGGAAGAGGAGAAATAAAAAATTGCTTCTCTTTTTTTCCACTTACATATACGATCTTAAAAGACAAGAGGCAAAGCTTACTGACTGACAGAAAGCAAAGATGGAGGTACTCCGTTTCAGAATATAATGGTGACAATTTCTTCATTTTTTTTTTTTTATTTTTTTTTCTTCCAATCTCACAATCAGATTTGTTAATGTGTAAACAATTAAATCCAGGGTAGTGAACTTGTTCCTGAAAAAGACTTTAGCAGAAAATCACAGCGTATATGTGCAATTGTATTTTCAACTCCTTATGATAAAGGGAAACTGATCGTTATTTTTATTAAAATAAAACACAATGTCTCTCTCTTAATTGTATTTCTTGGTTTACTCTTGCTCTGGAGGAAACATTCTTTAAACCCTCTTTTACAATCACATTTCTACGAAAAAGGTGCACTATTTGAAAGGCTGAAATGAGTTCAGACATGTCTAGTGCATGACTCCTGATTTTGTGAAGGCTTGTTTCTATCCAAAGAGGATATGAAGATGGCTGCCCTCAGTGGTGCAAGAGCAAGCTGTTATTGACTGTAAGTTATTTACAAATATGTATGTAAAAAAAAAAAATAAGTTTTTGTTTAACTGAGTTTGTAGTAGATTCATATAGAATAATTTCAAACTAAGCTCTTGTAATTTTTTTAATGCATCTTGCGAACACATCGGTTTTAGTATTTTTGCGATTTTCAAGCGATTTAATATTTTTGGATAAACTTTTGAAATAAGCTTATTTAAAAATATTGAATTAAGGCCTAAATCAGAGAGTTGTTTACAGACCGTATCTAATCTTATAATGTCCCCCCTGTTACCCAGTGGGCATGTCATGTGTCAAAGATTTACATGGGTACAATTAGAAATGCTTCGTACTATTGTAGTTAAAATGGAACAGCCTAAGATAAAAATGTATTCTTTAATAAGTAATAAAGTGCTCCTAAACCAAATACTGCTTCCCTTCTACAGAGTAGATGAATGTCTCTACAATTTAAAGTAACTTTTGTGGTTAGTCACTAAATTGAAGCTTGACAGGAAAGCTTACTGAATTTCAAATTTGAAAACTCAATAGTCGAACTGGAAAAATTACAAGTTGGCTATGATTACAGTTTGGCTATTGTCTCCTTAAAGCGGCACTGTCATGCTGAACTTACCTTTTCCTAATCGCTTCCTATTCTCGCTTCCTCTCTCAGGATCTGTTATCCGTTTCTTCCTGAACGCTCTAGTTTTCTTTAAAATATAAGACACAGTAGGGACTATTTTGTTATGTGTATTTCCTACACTTGATCAGCTCAAGTTGGTCAGATAAATTTCCCCACAATACTCCCCATTACCTCTGTGATCTCGCGATGCCCGATTTCACTATTCCCGAACGTCCTGTCATTTAGAATGAGAACAGTTTGTTCATTCATGTTAGGACGACATTCAGTACTTTTAGGTCGGTTTGAAATTTTATTCGAATTAATGAAATTTCGGTCCGATCCGTGCTGCAACTACATCTTGCAGTCACTTAGTAGATAGCTCCCTAATACCATGAGAATTAGGGAGCTATTTTACTAAAAGGCTGAAAGACCAAGATTGGTCTTTCAGCCAACTTTACTAATACTATGTAAAGATTACTTAGTATTAGTAATTAATATGCCCCTACTTGCTATATTGCGAGTAGGGGCATGTCTAGTAAACAGTGAGCAACCTGTGGCTACTCACTGTTGTAAAAAATAAAGCACCCCCAATAAATGGCCCCATTGTGAGGCATCTATTAACTAACGTGGGGGTACATAGTGTCTGGCTGGTGGGGCCCTAAGTGACAATGGGGGCGGCCTATTGTCCTCCTCCCGTGAGCTTTGGTTCGGGGCCCTAAATGAAAATGGGGGGCCCTATTCACCCCCCCAGCCCCCATCCATGAGTGGCGGGAGGGCTCTAAATGATAATGGGAGGGTTCCTATTGTCCGGTCCCCACCCGTCGCCAATAAGAGTGTTCTGATAGGTAAATAGTGTGCCTTACCGCTCGTGGGTGCCGGGGGGGGAGGACAATAGGTCTCCCCCCCCCCCATCATTGTCTTTTAGGGCCCCCACCCGCCGCTCATGGTTGGGAGCCTGGGGGTATAACACTATGTCCCCCGCTAGTTAATAGATGCCCCACCATGAGGGCTAGTTACTTTTTAAACAGTGAGCAGCCATGACCGTGTCTCTTTAAATGTGATATTCGGATTGAATTCTCACATCCGTAATAACCTGTGTGGTTAATTTTTGTAAAGTTGCAGATAGAGGTCCCCACGGGAACATTCTGGTGATTACTTTTACAGCTGTACACCACTTTTCTTAAGATACGTTTGTAAATATCTTCTCTACATGCAACTCTTACCTTCTAATGCCTGCCTTTTGAGCAATGACCACCAGAACCTCTTCCTTTAATTGCATTGTCTCCTCAGGACTCCCTTTCATACTTTGAGCAATAACCACCTGCACGTTGAGTTTTGGACCTGAAATAAACTCGGTTTCCTCTTTTACTGCCGCAGTTGATACAAGAGGAGAACTTCCAGTAGACACTGGTAAAAGTAAGTGATTGAATCCCATACATAGTCTGCCTAATGGGCAATGCAGGAAACCACCAAAACCTGCTACCTGTGGAAACAATAACATGTTTTAGGTCATTGAACATTTTGGGGTTTCAGTTGTCTTTCATTCACCTGAATGTTTCTCAATTCCAGTTATCAAACAAGCCAACCTAATGGAATATATATCCCTTGAGCTAATGGAAGCTCCTGCTTAGGAGCTTCTGGCTCTCGGACTGAAGTAGTGCCTGAAGGGATTGGCTCCCATCAGAACCCAAGTAAGAACTAAAACAATTCTAAAATTGGTTGACTGCTTACAGTGGGTGAGATGTTGAGTATAAATTCACCCTTTTTGAGTGTAATATGGGCCGTCCAGGCTTGCACAGGTGCATAACTCAGTCAGGCTAGTGTGTAGAAATAAGTCATGTGTTGTTTAAATGTTTGAGAACATAGCACACGCATTTATCGATCAGTCTTAACAATTTCGTTGTAGAAGAAATCTTTTTCTTGGATATTATTACAGTACACACATCTACATATTTACATCTTTTTCTTTTATCCTATGGTCTTATACTTTTAATTTATCGTTCTGTAACACAACTATAAAACATTTCTTCAATTTACAGCCAACGAACATTTTATAAGAAATTTTTTTTTCTACATTTTAAATTTTGACAGTCTGAATTATGAAGCTGTAATAGATTACATATTATTTACTAATTTTGTGTGACATTAAAATCTGGTTAGGATTTCAAGAGCCATCTCTGGGGCCGACATCAGCACTTGTACTTGCTGATACACATGATAAATGATGCTGTGTAGTATGTGCAATTTTAATGCTACATAAAGAAATTAAATCTATTATTAGAAGAGGAATCCCAAAAGAACTGTCTGGAGTTCCTCCTCCATCACATAAATACTACATATGTTGCCCATCATGATGGACATGGATCCAGTGATTCTAGAACGCCTACTACCTGGATATTTCAGTTAAAACGGCAAAAGAATACATCTAACTACATTATGCAAAGCTGAGTGTACAAACACTGAACTTCAAGTGTCTTACTGATGATCTCTGTTGTAGTTTGCACCTACATAATGACCGAACAAAAGTTCAAAATTGAATATTTTTCTACACATCTGGCTGGAGCACTGCAGAGAAAAAATGTTATTATCCAATGATGTGCCACCACATCGTTGACTGCGCATTATTCCTTGTTGCATGATAAGTTATAGCTTTTAACACTTTTACACTTTAGAGAGAGAGCATGAAACACAGTCTGTTTGCTATGTTAATTATTCTACAGTGATTAACATATTTTCAATATTCCATTTCTGCTTTTTATAGTAATGCTGTTTTCCCCTCTCGGGGGTGCGATCTATATAATTTTAATGAGTTTGCTGCAAAAACTATACAAGAGCCAAATGAGTATACAAGTGAAGGTGATTAATTAGCATGTCTGCCACCTATGCAACTAACAGTGAGTTTTGCATTTTTACATGTGCCTTTTCTGTGCAGTTTTGGTTAAATAAAAACCACAATGATTATTATTCTAATATATGCATTCTTATTTCAATTTTCTTCTAAAAGCTCTTTACAATAGATATACTACATGTATATGCATTCTTATTTCAATGTTAGTGAATAGAATAGTAAAAATCATTATAATGTCCATTTAAAGTTATTTATATTTTTGTTGAGTCTTTAAAGGCTGATTTGTTTGGCAGGCTTAATGTTAGTTAACAGTTCATTATGCCATCATGGTTTATTCACCTGTATCCATTCTCCAGGTGGACAGTCTGTCCACTCTGAGCCTTGAACTTTGACCTGGAAACTGTTTGGAGCCATGCACCGATGTAGATAGCAGCGACCTTTGACCTTTGTCTGGTGTGCTCCCTGTAACATAAGTCAGAAGCTGTGTGTGAATGGCATTGTATGGGTCAGTGTTATTCCATATTGTTGTTCCTGTGTTCAGTGATGACAAAAGACTACAACAACATTTTAATTTTCTCACTTCCTTTGTCAGATTGGAGAAGAAGCAGCGACTGTTCTGGTCATATATCTCTTCTTGTGCCCTTTCTTTTTGTGGGAGCCAACATTCACCCTACAATAATATGGTTTAATTATAGAGCAGTCACATGGTACAGGAAATTATTGCATGCAGTTGGGGTTACTATAATATATAATGCTATGGATGAGCAAGGTACTCACTCCACTTGAGAGAGGCTTGTATATTCGACATCCTTCTAGGAATGAATCAGTAGAGCAAACACCCTTGTCCAAGTGCAGATGATGGCAGCCAATCTCACTGAGGGTAGAGTGATGATGTTAAAATAGGTCTACAGGACATGTAGTATATCTGAGACCGTGCCCACAATTACCTTCCTGTGCAGAAGAATCCAGTAGAGGTATCATTACATTTGGTCGGAAGGCCAAACGAATGACCAGCACCTGGAAGAGAGAAGAGGAGACCGTTTTCAATTTACTGTAGAAGGAAGGAAGTTTAAAGGGACACTGTAGGCACCCAGGCCACTTCAGCTCATTGAAGTGGTCTGGGTACTGTGTCCCTTTTGCACTTAGTGCTGCAATGGAAAACTCTGCAGTTCCAGAGAACTGCAATGTTTACATTGCAGCTCTAAGTATGCCCACAGTGGCTGTCTACCAGATAGTCACTAAAGGGCTTCCAGAATCGCAACGGACCTTTGGTCCGTTATCTGACGATGGACATCCTCACGCTCTGCATGAGGACCTCCAGCGGCAGATTTGTTTCCCAATAGGAAAGCATTGATTTAATGCTTTCCTATGGGGAGGTCTAATGCGCACGCATTTGCCGCGTATCCGTATTAGACCCCGCTGATCGCGTGAAGGAGGAGGGGGCAGAGGGAGCTTCGACCCAGCGTCGAGGGACATCGGCGCTGGGATAAGGTAACAAAATAAAGGGTTTTTAACCCTTCAGTTACCGGGTAGGAGGAAGCACGGGGGAGGGGGGAGGCAGAGGGATCGTTAGTGCCAGGAATACAGCTTTGTATTCCTGGCACTGGAGTATTCTTTTAAAGGACAACCAATACCTCAAGGAGAAAACAAAAATAAAGGCTGCGCCAAATTAGACCAATAAAATATATATAATAAAATAAGAGATTAGTCCAAATACAAAAGTCTTAGCTGAATAGATCTTCCTTAGATCAAATAGTCTGTAAAGTGCTTTGTCAGGAACAATGTCCTTGCTGTCCTTCCTCAGGGGGATTATAGTTTTGTATGTAATAAATAACCCTTTCATTAACTATTGAAAGGAAATAGATTTATGTAAGAAAATTAGGAAAAACTTATCTATACCTTTAGTATTTGGTTGCAGTGATCTGAGTAATTGAGAAGCACCAGGGGCTGAGAGAGCTCTTAAAATCATCTGCACCTCATAGAGATGTAGACTACAATGCTCCCCCAATGAAGTGAGGTGGCACAGAGCCAAACAAAGGAGACCTTTTCACCTCCCTGCCAACTCAGGGCACCCTCACAAACCGAGCTGGAGCTCAGGCCCTGTCTGCACCCAGGCTATAGGTGGCTGCTTATTATGAGTAATAGGGCCCTGGAAACAACAAATGAACAGCAAGGAATAATCCTGCAAAGCACATCAGATGCAGCCTGTGAGATGCTCCTCGCAAAAGTCAGATTTAGGAAGGGACTAACAACCTTAATTTTAAAGCGTGTTCCAGCCAAGGTATCTCTAGTTCCCCTCCCACACGGACATTTGTTTTCCCTGGGATCGGCTTAATGTTCCTTTTTTAAAGTTTATCAGGTCCCTCTTTGTTTCCTTTCTTTCAAATAGTTTTCACTAAAGAATTTGTAAACATTTCTCTGCACTGCTATATTAAAGTTTCTAAGATAGCGGCGCCTGAACATTTGACCTATTGCAATTACCTGGTCGTGCATGTAAAATAATGCGCATGCCCAACACACTAGCAGCTTCCGCCAACCTCAGTGTTGATTCTCGTGATTGCGCAAGGGCCAACACAGAGGATCAGTGGTGTGCCGCTTCACGAAGTGATGCAACATTGTAGAAGGTGAGTATACACACAAAGCTCCACCCTCTATCAAAATTTTTAAACTAGTTACAAATAAGGAAAAGTATATTCTCTTTAAACGCATAAATGTCAACTGTAAGCCTACAGCTCTATAAGGTTATATGAAGAGAAAAAAAAAAAAAAAGTAGGGTCCATTAGGATGTTTCCTTATGTATTTGAATAATGCACAGTGTTTTGGGGACATGTAGCAGTCCATTACAGAAATCAGTGATTATTCTTGACCATGAAATATGCATTTAAATAAGACAGAAGCAGAACTGTTTACCAGGCAATGCCTCATGAGAAAGCATTTAGCAAGTCTGTAGAATTGAAAAGGTGAAAGAGCTTCGCAGGATCACAAAGGGGGGGATCTTAGTTGTTATGAATCTGTCTTTGTCTTGTTTGTTAGTGCACTTTCTGCCATGTTAAATAAGACTCTCACCTTTTCCCCACACCAGCTGATCAATGATGTTTGTATTGACACCATACCATCCCATGTCTTTGAAGGCAGCCAATGTGATAATATCCAGGTGTGTGAGATGAGGTGGGCTGAGTGAAGCTGTCAGGGTGGACCCTTGTAGGACCCGTGCCTCCCAGTGCGAAGAAGCAGAATGTGGGAAGTCCTGCAGGACAAAACATCAAATTTTGACAACCACACAATAAACTGTACTATTCACTGAATATTGTTTAGAAATCAGAACGTTAAGTTCTTTAAGTAACTATATTCATGTATGCTATAGCTCAGTGAAACGATACTGGATTATACCTCTTTACAGATATTGTCTCCTATTCTATTTCTAGAAATGGGTTGCTACGCTATATTACAATTGGCATATGCATCACAAATGTTTTAGAATGCAGGTCATGAAGCTAACATTATATATGTAATTTGAGTCTCTGGGAAAAGAAGGTTAAAGGACCACTCTAGGCACCCAGGCCACTTCAGCTTAATGAAGTGGTCTGGGTGCCAGGTCCAGCTAGGGTTAACCCATTTTTTCATAAACATAGCAGTTTCGGAGAAACTGCTATGTTTATGAATGGGTTAAGCTTTCCCCCTAATCCTCTAGTGGCTGTCTCATTGACAGCCACTAGAGGCACTTGCGTGCTTCTCACTGTGATTTTCACAGTGAGAGTACGCAAGCGTCCATAGGAAAGCATTATGAATGCCTTCCTATGTGACCAGCTGAATGCGCGCGCAGCTCTTGCCGCGTGTGCGCATTCAGCCGACGGGAAGGAGAGAAGGAGGATCGGAGGAGGAGAGCTCTCCGCCCAGCGCTGGAAAAAGGTAAGTTTAACCCCTTTTCCCCTTTCAAGAGCCGGGCGGGAGGGGGTCCCTGAGGGTGGGGGCACCCTCAGGGCACTATAGTGCCAGGAAAACGAGTATGTTTTCCTGGCACTATAGTGGTCCTTTAAGAACCACCAATCTATATAAACTGAATATGCCTTGTTGGTTGACATGGACCATTCTTGTATTTATCACCTTATTCTCAAGTGGGGCACCCACACTTCCACCACCCAGATGTTCTCCCATTTTACGCATAACTGTAGGAGTGTAAATCCGGAATTGGCCATTCTCATCTGTATTTGCAACGCGGGAACGAGATGAGCAAATATCTCCTGTGTAAGAGGGGAAAACAGAAGAAAGATTTCTTGTTAAGGATAGAACAGTGCTACGATATGATGGTTATTAGAATTGATTAAAGGTCTTGTTTAGATGGTTGTTGTTAGGCGTTTTAATAAGAATAGGGATGATGTAATATAGTATGTAAATACAAGTAAAACTTGTTTGGCTAATCTATTATGTCCATTTACTAGTATCTCAATTTGGCAATTGGCGGTCTCTTTTGAACAGGATTGCCTCATGCATACACAATGGAGGAGTAAGGGGTTTCTTTGAGACAAAATTTATACTCCAAATTAAAGGGTATACAATCATGGATACCTAGGATTGGTAGACATGCAAGTAACAAGACAACCCTCCTAAGAAGGGATTTATTGGACACGCTCAGTATTCCAAGTGAAAATCTGATGGTTTATTTGACTGAAAGATGTCAGCTACTTCCTAATCTGGTTATAACCCAGGGACAAAGTGAGTATTTTAGGGTTTTATGTGTAATTAATTATATAATGCATTACAAATTCCATCGTTAAGTTCAACTTGAATCTTACCTATAACATGAACCACTCTTTGAAAGAAAATAGGTCACTTGATAGGATGAAAGTTAAGATATCACTGGTGGTATGCAGAAGATTGTAGAAAAACATATTGCACTAGTACAGGGATAAGCAACCTTTGGCACTCAAGATGTTGTGAACTACGTCCCCCATAATGCTCTTACACCCATAATGCTGACAAAGCATTATGGGAGGTGTAGTCCAAAACATCTGCAGTACCGAAGGTTGTCTGTGCCTGCACTAGTAGATTAGCAATGGTTGGTCTTACCTGTGTCATAAAGATCACAGTCTATCCAACGTGAAAATAGATTTCTGGAGAATCCAAGAGCATGGAGTAACTCATGGAGAGAAACCTATGATGGGGGATATTGAGGGTAAAAGAATTATAGATGTGGACATGGACAATTATAGAAAACATTGGAGCAGATGAGAAAATAATTTAGGACAGTGCACAGTCAGTACGTTTTTGTGTTTGTGATCTTACTTGCACAACGTGACTGTGTTGATATTCTTCTTCTTTCAAATGTTCTGGACAAAACACAATGATTCCAGCAAGAGGGCGTCCAAAGGGGTCCAGTTGACAGTAGGAAGCGTAGGCAATGACTGAAGACTTAAATTTGATATGTAACATAGAAATGTTTACGTTTCCATTGTCAATTTGCAACTTTAGTATTCAGTAACCTTTTATCTTGAAACCTCAGTATTGAATATACATAAGTATTGTACCTGGTAAACCTTATTACTGGATCATAAATCCAATAACCAATGTCATTAGCTTTAAGTAAATAAAAATTTAAATGAGTGGTTGATATATTTAGATGACTACCCATGCAAGGATGCATCACGGAACATTTTGCATATGCGCATATATTTACAACTTTGGCTTCCTGTTTTTGTCCCATGCTTACATTTTTCCAAGGAAGTGTGGATAGGGGCACCTTTTATTGGTAAGTCCTGGCAAATATCTTCATATAATTGCTTTGATCCCAAGGCGTATTCACACATGTGCACAATCTTCTGCAGCATACTGTCTTTACTGTAGTAAGGTGGAATATATAGTGCCTTTCAAAATAATTTACTCTACTCCCTCCCCCCCCCTTTTATTTCCTCTGTTTATAGTACTGCAACATGAAATTAAAATTCCTTTATTTTGGATTTTATCATTTAAATTACACATCTTGTACATCACTGGTTCAAAATATTTTTTTAATTGTGATATCATGAAGACCAAGGATTCATCAAAACTAGCTCGATAAAAAAAACATCAATCAGGATTAGGTAATAAAAAAATAAATAAGACCCAAACTTTGAACATCCCCTAAAGCACATTAAACACACTCTTAAAGGGGCTTAATGGGCCTATGTGATGTTGCTTTTATTCTGTGCACAAAAAAAATAAAGAATTTAAAATACACTCTTAAAAACAAACGGAAAGAATATGACACAAATTGGGGATCATGCTACCTTTCTGCGTGCCGTAAGATGAAAATTTTTGCACAGAATATACATCCATCCTAAAAATCTGTTCTGAGCTGGCTAATGACTCTGCCAGAGGTGGGGGTCAGTGGTGGGGGGTGGGGAGAGGGGGCAACTTAGTGGTTAATCTCTGCATGTGCAGTGTTTAAAAGCAAAACACAGCGCATATCGACTCCGGGCAACATGCCACTTCACATCAGTGAAGTGGTGATGGTGCCTGGAGTAACCCTTTAATTTTACTCAAGAAAATTGACAAGGTGTTTGAGTGGAGAAGAATTCTTATATGAGCTAAAATATTTGCTTTGGTGAAAAAGAGACTCTATAAAATCCTGGAATTTGGGGATTCATTTTGTTGGAGAGGATTTATTTTATAAGAAAATAATGAGTGTGTTGTAAACGGTGCACCTATAGATTAGGAAAACATCAGAGCTATCAATATTAATATAGTTTCAATCATTTCTGCTATGTGTGTACATTGAGTTTCTTGGTGATAACAACTCATATATATTAAAGTAGTTCACACATCATTACCAAATTGCTCTACACTTCCACACCTTTGATTTTCTACCTTCCTTCTCAGCAGCAATGTGTGGGGGGAAAAAGAACCAGTCTAATTTATATAGAGAACAGCAGTAATATGTTCTTTACTATTTGCTCACTTGTGTGGGTGCTATTTTAGTAGTTCCTTATAGCTTGGACATGTACATAATATTTTCCTACTACCCAAATTACATTACAAATTACATTACATTACTAATAAAGGCGTTTTGAAGAATTTGGTAACTTAACCTACTACCATGTAAAAATGCTTGTGTTCCTGTCACAAAAAGTTAGTTGCCATGGTTAGTTTAGATTATTATTATTAATATTCCCACCTATCCATCAAAACAAATTCAAATGGCACCCAAGTCCACTCTTTCAAATACTTGGGTATGATATTAGACCCCAATCTATCTTTTGGCTTGCACATAGAAAAGCTTGCATCTAAACTTTATCCAAAATTAGGTGCCCTGTACAGAAACAAAGCCTGCCTAAGCCCTACAGTAAAGGAAAAGATTGTACAGCAAATGCTGATGCCAATCATTGATTATGGGGATGTAGTATATGCATCTGCATCCAATCCCACATCAATAAACTCAACACATTGTATAACTCGTTCTGCCGATTTGTGCTACAATGTAATTACAGGACCCACCATTGTGACATGCTAAAGGAACTAAACTGGCTATTGCTGGAATCCAGACGCACCCTTCATCTTTCCAGCCTTGTTTTTAAGAGCTTTTCTGGGAAACTCCCACCCTACCTGAACAAAATGCTTTCCCCAGCTGTTCCCACTTTCTATAAGCTCCGATCCAGTACAAGACTTTACTTAGTCTACCTCAATACAAAAAGAAAGCGGCCCGATCCTCCTTCTCCTATAGAGCACCACAATTGTGGAACGACCTCCCGCACAATTTAAAATCTTCCCTAAGCCTAAAGTCATTTAAGAGATCCCTCTCTACATACCTCAAAACAGAATGCACCTGTCATGGTTGATTATATATTTCCTACCTGTTCTATGTTAAATTTTGTATATATTGTGTATTAATATTGTTTTTGTATTTTGTTGTACCTAATGTAACAATGCAATGATTTGTGGACCCAGGACATACTTGAAAACGAGAGAAATCTCAATGTATCTTTCCTGGTAAAATATTTTATAAATAAATATGTTGTTATTTATATAGCAGTGTGGGCGGACATTAATTATGGACTGTACCGGCTCAAATTGGGAGCATGTAAGACCACTAATATTAGATTACAACATTTCTACCACATCAAATTACTAGATTTACGGAGGTCAATTTCTTCCCACATGGCAATTTCATAGTGAAACAGTTGAACTTTGTTTGAATTACAAGAGTAGAAATTATTTATGTACAGAACCAGTGGATATGTATTTTACAACTTCTAAAAAGAAATATCTACAACTATAGAGTAGTATTGTATGTACACAAATTTATAGCTTGTGGATTATTGCACTCACAAAAATAATTTACTTGTAGGCATATTTCTCAAGACTGGGTACATAGATTCTTCAGCCTTCTCCCAATGAACTGAGCACATAAAACTAGAAGAGGCAAACACATAGTGCAGGATTGCCAAATACAAAGACCCACTTTAATATCAATTTCACTTACAGGATAACAAGTGGATAAAGGCACATCAAAATAATCAGTCATCAAAAGCTCCAACCCCACGGTCCAGGAGAACCAGGCACAGGAATTACACTTTTCTTTCCAAAAGAATAAAAAATAATGTACCCAAAATCACATAAAAAATATAAAATGAAATAGAAATTGCAGCCCTCGCGTTTCGTCTGATTCATTCAAAACTCTTCAGGGCAAATAAAAAGTCACTCCTTTTCAAAAACGACCAGCACATTTTTTTATATTTATTTCTTGACTGCAGTTTCATTTTCAGGGACAATTTATGTTAAAATGTGTTTTCGTATTTGCATGTGTTTGTGTATTTTCTAGTTTTATGTGTTCGGTTCATTGGGAGAAGGCTGAATTATGGGAGATATGCCTACAAGTAAATAAATATTTTATAGTGTGTGTACGTGTACATACAATACTGCTCTATTTTGTCTTATATTTGTAGATGTTTTGTGGTTGTACTTATGAAGATTTAGAGTCTTGATATATTACATTGGAAGGTGTATAAAGGTAAATTATTATAATCCCTCCACACGCTTTCTCACTGGGGGTATGAGTGTCTTACATATTTTACAACTTCTACAATCTGATTTCCTTAGTTCACATCCATTTTAGATATGAAGGTGCATTTACATATTTTTTTTTTTTTGCAATAATTTAGCATTGCTTTTAAATAAACCTCGACCTATTATGTTAAATACTATTGGCATTTACAAACCAATGCTTTGATACATTGTTTACTAACCTGTGTTGCACATTTTTCTGTTTGCGCCACTCTGACATACAGCAGGAAGTCTGTACCTGGAATTCCTGCTCCATCTGGAGTTACAACACTTGGCTCCTGACCCAACTCTAGCCACACTTCAAATCCTCGTAGGTGAGAATCAGGTATCTAGGAAATTAAGGGTCCAGTTAGTTACAAGATGGCAAAGGAGACCACTGAATTCTAAATCTTATTTTACGTCACACTTACTATGATATCTAAGCAGGTTTCTCCACGATAAGACTTATTTAAAGATCCACACCTGGGGATACAAAAACAGCTTTTTAAAGAGGCAAACATAATGTAATATTAAAAAATTGAAATCATAATACATTTACTCACTTGTTATAGTTAGGAAGTGTACTATTTCGCCAGACAGAATGACAGAATTTCTCAATATCTCTGTTCAGCAGAAGTGGTCCTTCCACCCTATGCACTACAAAAGACAAAGAAATGTCTCGATTATGGGATTTAATGAATAAACTGAAATTCGGTTACCAATATTTACACAAAAATATGCAAGTTGGGGATTGTATATTTTAAAATATTTCATAGTAGTAAAAACATAAATACTACAACCTTCATAGTAGTACATGTCCCTGAGTGCTCACAATGTATCCTGCTCCTCTATACCAAGTAACTTAGAAACCCTCTGCCATGCCTTCATGCTGAGTTCTGTAAATGATTAGTTACACTTATAATTAGCACTTCTTTATTACTACAGTCATATTTCCTCTTATTTAATCCTGGGCCCTGGAATCTCTTACCTGAGAGCACACTGGAAACAGTCCTGGTGACGTCTAAGATAGCCTTTTGCAATTTTTTGCTCTCGGTTGGAGTAAGCAGAACACTTTCTCCTGGAAGGTACCATGGGGTGATTCTAAGAGGAAGGAAAGGGGTGCGGTGGACATCACGGAGATGTAAGTGAGAGGCATGGGGAGGGATAATTGGAGGGGACACCACTACAGTCTCTCTCTGAACAGAGTCATGAATGCAGACAGAAGAACAGATGCCTGTAATAATTACAGTCAAACTCAGCGCGTACAACCAGCCTGGAAACTGCATAAAGATGGTTCTGATGACAGACAAACGTCTCCGCATTCCAAGAAAGCAAAACTGTGTCTGTTGAGATTTGCTGAGCTTTTTGTTAGGTGCTAGTCCATTAATGCACAGCTACATATCACACCGTCCAATTAAGTGACATTCACACCTTACTGCCTGCCACTATCTCCTGTGCTGAATTAAAAGAGAGTTGTTAAACTGGTTTCTGTATCCCAGGAAGTTAATAATCAAAAGAGAGATGAGCAGAAGGTTTGCAAGGGCAGACAGCGTGACAGATAGACGGGGGAGGTACCCCCTCTGTTCCTGTGAACATTTAATGTAACTGGATAAAACATGCAGGTTTATTTTTTTATTTTTTTTTCTTTGCTTTCAACCCAAACTGTGAGGCCCTGTGTGAGACAAATAAGTGCACCCTTTCCAAGAGTACACCTCTTCTGTTAACCTTATTCAAATGTGTGCACACACACTCACTCAGATACACACATACAAAAACATTTCGGGCTTATGGATCCCCGCCCCCCTCTTTAGCTGTCCCTAGGGAGGGGGAGAGATACTCTGTGGAGTTCCTGGTTTCTAGTGTTTGGGGAACAGGAGAACTGTGCACCAGGCAACGCAGGCTTCTCTCCTACTCCTCCTTGGTTTTACAAGGGCTCATTAGACAGGCAGCAGGTGTTAGGATATGACCTCATACCTAGGCAACTGCTGCTATTCTCAGTGTAACTATATAGCATAGTTACCAAAAAGGTAGCTCACCAGATGTAGAACTACAACTCCCATAATGCTTTGCATGTCGTTAGATTGACAGAGCTTCTTGGAAGCTGTAGTTTTACATCCATGCTCTATAGTGTATGTGTGATAAGTGATAATAACACCTCCTGCACAGTTCACACTCCAGTCTCATTTACTGGGCAGCCAGATATGCAAGTGTGAGAGCCAGCCCATAGTGAAACTCTCATAGCTCCCAATAGTCTAAGGTTGTACGTGATGATCCTGATTTTAGTGTCCTGTCTGGCAGTCCCAGGTTTGTTCTCTGCATCCCAGGTTTGGTCTCGTCACTCCAAATTACAGTGACATACGTCCTTTTTAAAATATTTTGCCGGCATTATTTCTGGATGGACACTTATGTAACGGACCACCTGGCACCCCGACTGGGCACCTCGGTCAACAGATGCTTCCTAGTGGACGCCGAGGACTACAAGCACCGCACCGGACACCATCAGCAACGCAGACTCTGCAACCGCCGTAGTTTAACTGGAAACTCACCGTCTTCCTCCCACCCTGGACCAACCGCTGACATCCACGACCATGTGGGAAAGATCACTCCTCCAGAAGAGCGTAACAGGAACAGCTCTTACAGAAGCTAGTGATTATCCAAGGGAGTATAACGAGTATAGCAATCCCTGGTAGTGATATAGCAGCTCCCTACAATAAGAGACACAACACAAGTAATGAGGGTGAAGAGGTCTTAGGTGAACAAACAGATGAACCAGAGGATAGATTTATAACCCAGAGACAGAGGATCTGTCACAATGCTCCCTTCTTGTGGAACACCCGGCAGACCTGGATTAACCCTTTTCGGGTTAATTTAGGGATGTCCAGACTATGCTTAGGGGCTGAGTTCTGTTTGTCTGGATAATCCATCTGCATTGCCATTTTGTTTTCTGGGTCGATACTAGATTGTAAAATTGTAAGGCTGCAGTGCCACAATCACAAGGTAAAAGGCTGGCTAGTAGTCCTCTCCAAAACCCAGTGGCGACGTGTCTTTCGCCACACATCTTCCCTCCTAGGGGGAGACTAACCAGGTACCTGACCTCCTTTCGGTCGGTGCCTGAGTTAGTCGAGTAACCCACCCACGACAAACAATTGCTGGACCTGATGGCCTCTGTAGCTCATCTCTGTCCTGTATGTCCCCAGCGATCAAGTGGGCATCTGGTACTCCTGGTCTCCCTTGAACTCCCAGGCATGGAGCTGTAGGTACTTGGTGGGCAGAGGCCAACTGCGCTCTGCCCTGGTGCCAGCACTTCTGTTGGGGTGGTCTGCAGGTATTCAGGCCACGGACAAAGGAGCGGTTGTGAAGAGGAGGGATCACCTACCTCCTCCTCCTGGCAGTCCTGCGGTGTGGGTTGGGGATTTGGACCGGCCATCCAGCATTTGGACCGGCCATCCATACTCCTGGGGACAGGAGTGCCTCCCTTCTGTAACTGGAGAGAGGGACCAGTTGTCTCCTCTCCCTGTAGGATACGCTTCCGCTGGGGAGAGAGGCCGGTTGCCTCATCACCCTGCAATTTACACTGCCACTGGGGAGAGAGACCGGTTGTCTCCTCTCCCTGAAACTCACTCTGCCGCTGGGGAGGGAGCCTGCTTGTCTTTACTCCCTGTAGGATACGCTGCCGATGGGAAGAAAGACCGGTTGCCTCCTCTCCTTGCAATTTACACTACCGCTGGGGAGAGAGACCGGTTGTCTCCTCTCCTTTCAAGGTAAACAGCCGCTGGCGGAGGGGGGGGAGAGGACGACACCTTTGGCCCCCTGTACTGGGCACTGTTGCTGGGGAGTGAGACTGATTGTCTCCACTCCTGGTCAGATACGCTGCCGCTGGGGAGAGAGGCTGGTTGCCTCCTCTCCCTGCCATTTACACTGCCCCTGGGGAGAGAGACCAGTTGTCTCCTCTCCCTGAAACTCCCTCTGCTGCTGGGGAGGAAGGACGACACCTTTGGCTCCCAGGACTGCACACTGTCGCTGGGGAGAGAGACCGGTTGTCTCCTCTCCCTGCAAGGTAAACTGCCGCTGGGGAGAAAGGACAACACCTTTGGCTCCCTGTACTGCATTCTGTTGCTGGGGCGTGGATATCTCACACCGTGCCCTCTTGCTTGCCAGTTCTGCCCTGCGCAGCAGGCTCTCGGTCAGTAGGTTCCTCATGGACTGTACGTATTTCTCAGCTGGGTTGGGTTATAATCCAGAGACAGAGGATCTGTCACAACTTACCTCACCTGGGATATAAGTCGTATCACTGGCACACCTTCTATAGGCCCACTCACCTACATTGAAATGTCATAGTTTCCTATGTTGGCAGGTATGCAACTCACTCCAGTGCCATCAGTTGGTGCACAACAGTGACTGTCTGACAATAGTTCCAATTATTTTTTTTTGTTATTTTTTTTTTTTTATTCTTTATTTTGATAGTGCAATAAAGTAAACAGTCGTGCCCGCAGTGCCACAACAGCAACTGCTGGCTATTCATGGTATACAATGTCATGACATATTTGTAAGCTGCACAATTTTACAGGTTAACTGGTCGATATAAATCGTACTATGGTATCGGTAGCGATTAGTAGTAAGTGAATAGCTAGGTATCATTAACATTTGACTTTGGTAGATAGTTTGTAAAATTTTTCAAAAATAGTAAGTCTAGACGTTAGTGTGATAAGTTAAACATATGAAAATATGAAATTAGTGATTATATTGTCTTGCGTGTGAGTGTGATATGGTCGGTGCGGGGGTCGGCCTATGTCTGACTGAGAGTAGGAGACCTGTCCGGCTTCCCTTTAGGCATGCCTTGGCTGCCAGAAGCTTGCAGTGTTTGGTATCTTGTATTTCGTCGTTGCTAGGGGTTGGTTAGAGATTTGTCACATAGATGATTATTGCTGGTGTGCGCCTGATAGTCTATAAGTATATCGCGTCTGTCCATGTTATATGTCTTCTTTGCTTCCTTTGGTTTACGTTCCACTTCAGCTATACGGTCGTCTGGGGTGCACTTTTCCCTGCTAAGGTGTCGCGTAACTAGACTTGCTGTGTGGTGCACTGTGGTGGCATGATGTTTGCCCTCTCCTTCCACCCCCCTCCCGTGTGTGTATAGTGTCCGTCTCCTGTCCCCTCTCTCTAAGTGCCTGTATTTCCCCATCGTCACGCATGTCTCTGTTGGGGGTCGTGTGCGTCGAGGTGTTTTGAACCCAAGGTGCCAGGCACTATGGGGCCATCTATAACTGTTAAAAACAACAGTAATTAAAACAATTTTAAATTAAAACAACTTTAAATTAAATGCTAGATGCCTGAGGGGCTGTGAGGGGTTTAGTTCTCACATCCAGGTAGGTAGGCCTGTGATCAGTCCTCTCGTAGTCTGACAGTTCTATGGGGGGTTCTGCAGGCCTGGTCTTCTTTGTGTCTCTGACCTCTCAGGGCCTCTCTCCCTGGTAGCGTTGTCGCCTGCGGCGCTGGGGGTCTTGCTTCTCCCCTGTTCCAGGGGTGCTGGCTGGGGGAGTTGGAGTTCCTGTAGGAAGTTCTTAGGGTCTTCCTCTGCTGATAATGAAAGTACTCTGTCTTTGTATGGCACCACCAGCGTGCCAGATGCTCCCCATCTGTATCTGATGCCATGTTCTCTCAATTGTCGGGTGATCGGCATGAACCTTCTCCTCTCTAGCAGAGTCGCAAACGGTAAGTCGTCGAATACCTTGATGTGGAGGTTGTCCACTATGGCGGTGGGTGTCTTTCTGGAGGCAGCCATAATCGCCACTTTTACCGTAATGTCTCGTGTGATTGCAATAATGTCCCTGGGTGCGTCCGTGTCAGGGTACCTTTGGTGTCTACCTCGGAGGAGGGTAGACACCTAGACGTCCATCCTCCCAGGGGGGCTGACTCACCCGATCCTTGCACTCCTCCCGGTCGTTTACACGCCGGCCGCGATAGCTCCGCCTCCTTTTATGACGCGGCGCTCAGTAGCCGACGTCATGACGGCAATCACGTTCCGACCCGTCAATCACGGCAACCAAGTGCCGAACAACCAATCAGGACCCGTTGGGGGCGGAGCCAACAGTTAAAGAGCCAAGGTATAAAAAAGGGTTCTGTGGAATGATTCATTGCCCTGTCGTGGTTCTAGCTAGTCTGGTCACTCAGTGCAATTACCTCTATTGTCTTTTGGTTCCTGACTCGGCTTGTATTTTGACCCTGCTTTCCTCTCTTGTCCTTTTGACTCGGCTTGTCTCTTGCTTACCTGATCTCTCGTTCCCTCGACCTCGGCTTGTCTCTGACTATTCTTTTGCTTTCTCCTTACGTTAGTCCGGCCATTCTAAGGTCCGGTATACGTACCTATCCCCTGTTTGTATTCTGCGTGTTGGATCCCTGTCACGATCCTGACATTACGACAGGGCCAATGGATCCTGCAGGTACAAACTCTCAGGTCGGTTCTCCTGACTCTAGATTTGAGGCCATGGATCATAGAATGGACCAGATGGCTCTAGCTCTGCAAGCATTGCTATCTCGTCCTAGTAGTCACTCAGAGGAGATGCGTACCCCATCTATCTCTCCTATAAGTACAGGCCTAGAGGTAGCCACAGTGGCTACTTCTTCCCGTGTTACGTCCCCGTCACGCTATGGCGGCGCTCCTGACACTTGTCGAGGTTTTTAAACCAGATAGGTATTCATTTTGAATTACAACCCCACGCCTACCCTACTGACAGGGCAAAGGTTGGATTTATAATCACCTTGCTCATTGACAAGGCACTTAGATGGGCTAACCCCCTGTGGGAAAATGATAACCCGTTAGTTTATAATTATAATGCTTTTGTCGCTGCATTTAGGAGAGCTTTTGACCCTCCAGGAAGAAAGGCCAATGCAGCTAGACTACTGTTACGTCTTAGACAGTATAACCGAACCCTAGTGGATTATGCCTTGGAGTTCAGATCCTTGGCAGCAGAGGTCAAGTGGAATGAACAGGCTTATATGGACGTATTTATGAACGGGTTATCTGATGAGATTTTAGATGAGGTGGCCACAAGAGATCTTCCTGAAAATTTGGAGGATCTGATTTCATTTATTTCCCGAATAGATGAACGTATGAGACAGAGGCAGAATATTCGGGATAGAACCCGCAGATCCTCCATAAGACTAGCTCCCTCATTTCAGACTTCTGATTCTACTACTTTAGCTCTCCCAGAACCTATGCAAATAGGTCATACTCGACTCTCAGAGGAGGAAAGACAGTACAGGAGAAGGGAGGGTCTTTGTATGTATTGCGGAATTAGAGGTCACCTACGCCTAAATTGCCCTAACCGGCCGGGAAACGCTCGCACCTAAGTTTCTCAAGAGGACAGGCCTTGGGTGTTTCTATCTTGTCCTCTATTTATGATTATAAAGATCATAGGCTTCTGATACCTGTTTCTTTAGCTTGGGAAAAGGGAGTATTTAATGCTATGGCTTTGATAGATTCCGGAGCAGCTGAAAGCTTTATTGACCAAGCCTTTGTCACTAACCATTCTATCCCATCTCAGCTAAGGGATACACCCTTGGCCGTTGAGGCCATAGATGGTAGACCATTATCTGAACCTGTGATTTTTCGTGAAACCATACCAATTAAGTTAACCACTGGTATCCTTCACGAGGAAAGAATATCCCTCATGCTGATCTCATCTCCTTCAGTTCCTATAGTCTTGGGGTATCCCTGGCTTAAGAAGCATAACCCTATCATTGACTGGGAACTGGGTGAGATAGTCTCCTGGGGTCAGGGTTGCCAGAAAGGATGTGTGCAGAAAGTCTCACCAATTTGCAGGGTTGACGCCCCGGTTAACTCTTCCCAACCTACAGATTTACAGATACCATCACAGTACCTGGATTTAAAGGCAGTCTTTGACAAAAAGAGGGCTGATACTTTACCTCCACATAGGTCTTTCGACTGTAAAATTAGACTCCTACCTGGTACTATGCCTCCGAGGGGTACGGTATATCCTTTATCCACTAAGGAGAACTTAGTCCTAGAGGAGTACATACGTGAAAACCTAGACAAAGGTTTTATTAGGAGATCATCTTCTCCGGCCGGGGCCGGTTTCTTTTTTGTAGATAAAAAAGACGGCACTCTACGGCCTTGCATTGATTATCGGGGCTTGAATAAGATAACTGTTAGAAATGCTTATCCTATTCCTTTAATTACTGAGCTCTTTGATCGACTGAAAGGCTCCAAGGTTTTTACCAAGTTAGATTTGAGGGGAGCTTATAACTTGGTGAGAATTCAGCAGGGAGACGAATGGAAAACAGCTTTCAATACCCGTTATGGCCACTATGAATACACGGTAATGCCCTTCGGGCTTTGCAATGCACCTGCAGTATTCCAGGACCTTATTAATGAGGTTCTTAGGGAATTTCAGCATGAATGCGTTATAGTATATTTGGATGATATACTAATACACTCTAGAGAGATTGAGACTCACCACAGACAAGTCAGAAGGGTACTGCGCAAACTGTTACAACATGGATTGTACTGCAAATTGGAAAAGTGTAGCTTCGACCAATCTCAGATAAACTTTCTTGGCTATGTTATTTCTGGAGACGGTTTTAGGATGGACCCCAGTAAACTCCAATCGATTTTAGATTGGCCATTGCCCAGGGGACTCAAGGCCATTCAGAGATTTATCGGATTTTCCAATTATTATAGGCGCTTCATTAAAGGTTACTCTTCTATTATTGCTCCTATTACTAATATGACTAGACAGGGGCTGATACCAAGACTTGGTCCACAGAGGCTCTCTCTGCTTTCAAAACTCTCAAGGAACATTTTGCCTCAGCACCGATATTAGTTCATCCTGACACATCTTTGCCTTTTTTACTCGAGGTTGACGCCTCGGAGACAGGTATAGGCGCTATCTTGTCCCAAAGGCTAGGTTTGGATAAACCGTTACATCCTTGTGGTTTTTTTTTCAAGAAATTATCTGGGCCTGAAAGTAGATATGACATTGGTGATAGGGAACTGTTAGCGGTCATTATGGCTTTAAAGGAATGGAGACATTTGTTGGAGGGGACATTATACCCGGTTACTATTTTGACTGATCACAAGAATTTGTCCTACATAGGGGAGGCCAAGCGCTTGTCCGCCAGGCAAGCTTGTTGGTCCTTGTTTCTGACACATTTCAATTACGTGCTCACTTATAGACCTGGTTCTAAGAACTCTAAGGCAGATGCATTGTCCCGTCAACATGAACCCTCTACGGTGTCTGAAGCAGCTTTGTCTTCTATCGTTCCCAAGTGTAATATTATTGCCAACACTTGTGTCAGGATACACTCGCCGTTGCTTGCTGAGATCAAGAAAGTACAACATCTAGCTCCCAAACCTGTTCCTGGGGATCGATACTTCGTTCCTCCTGAGCTCCAAGTGGAACTGCTGCATTGCTTTCATGACAGTAAAATTGCTGGGCACCCCGGCACACGCAAAACATGTTCCCTGATTTCTAAAGATTTCTGGTGGCCTTCCCTTCGTAAGGATATAAGGGATTTCGTCAGGGCATGTGCTGTCTGTATGAAGACTAAGCAACCTCACGCGCTCCCTTGTGGACTTTTGCATCCCTTAGAAATTCCCGAGAGACCTTGGTCGTGTTTGGCTATGGATTTCATTGTCGATTTGCCTGTTTCTAAAAAACATACTGTTATTCTCACGGTGATTGACAGGTTTACTAAAATGGCTCATTTCGTGCCCTTGCCTAAACTGCCCTCGTCTCCCGAATTAGCTGAGATATTCGCGAGGGAGATTTTTCGTCTACATGGTATTCCCTCTGTAATTGTTTCTGATAGAGGTTCCCAATTTGTTTCCCGCTTTTGGAAGTCTTTCTGTTCTCACTTAGGCATCAAGTTGAACTTCTCCTCTGCCTATCATCCCCAGTCCAACGGAGCTGCCGAACGCACCAACCAAAAGATTGAACAATATTTGCGTTGTTTTGTTTCTGAACACCAGGACGATTGGGTTGGTCTGATTCCTTGGGCGGAGTTTGCACACAACAATCTCGTTTGTGATTCTACTCGTTCTAGCCCCTTTTTCTTGAATTATGGCTTTCATCCTTCCATTCTTCCGTCGGTTTCCCCTTCCCAAGGGGTTCCGTCGGTTGATGTTCATGTCGCCAATCTGAGAAAGTTGTGGGATCAGACTCGACGAATTCTTCTTCATAATTCCATGGTGTTCAAACGACACGCTGACAAACGGAGACGGGTGG